TTTAAAAAACATGACATTATTTCGATTAAAGTCATGGTTGTGTTGAGAATCCTGCTGGTTTATTTTTCTTGGGGAATGCGTGCTTCAGAAGTCATGGTTTGGAAGGTTTTTTGAGGACAGTGGTTCCACATCTGCAGGACAGAGCTTGGTCCTTCCCGGAGAACAGGCTGCCACTCAGAAGCTCCTGCCTGGAGGCCTCTGGTGCAGAATATGTGAATCATTGTACCAGGCTTCATTTTGCTCAGAAACTACTTAGAATTATTCATTGGGCCCTTTTGGTTTTATCAGGTTCTTCAGAGGCATTTCTGGGTGATGATGTTGATAAAGCTGATGGCACTTTGCATCTGTTGAGCACCATGAACTTTGCCAAGTGCTTTCCTACTCATGATCTCATTTAATTGTCACTGGGAACTGTGAGGTTGGAAGCACAGATCTGATTCCCATCTTGTTGTGGATGAAGAATTTAGAGGGTTTAAATGACTTGCCTGATGTCTCCTGGTGAATGCTGATCTTCCTGCTGCCGGAGTTTCAGTGTATAAGCCAAGCTGAGGAAGAATGGCTGAACAGTGCTTCTGGCCCAGGAACCATGTCATACTTGTCAGCGTCCATTGTGGGTGTAGTGCAGGGGTTTTCAGTTGGGTGATTTTGCCCTTGGGGGACACTGACGATGTTTGGAGACATTTTCAGTTATCAGAACCTGGGGTGTGTCACCGGCATCTAGTGGGCAGAGCTAGAGGTGCTGCTAAACACCCTGCAGTGCATGGGGAGGCCTGCAACAGACCTGAGCAGCCCCAAAAATCATTGCTGGGGTGGAGGACCCCTGGTGTGGCTGAAAACGAGAGCCTTGCCTGCAGCCCCCAAAGCCTGTCTCTTGCTTTCTCAAGCTTATCCGTGTGTTCGCCTTTGAACGTTTCTTCCTTCGGATTGTTGGTGGTAGAAACGATTCTTTGAGATCTCGACGGAGGCACATTTCAGGGCCCTCTCCTGGCGCCCGTGTTGACTGTCTGTTGTCCTGCCTTGCCAGTGCAGTGCTGCAGGGGCGTGGTGTGAGTGCGGCCCACATTATGGGCACCAGAAGACTGAGACCCAGCCTTTACTCTGTCCCCTTTTTCTTTCTTTACTTTTTTTTTTAAATTCTAGAATACATATGCAGAACGTGCAGGTTTGTTACGTAGGTATACATGTGCCGTGGTGGTTTGCTGCACCCATCAGCCTGTCATCTACATTAGGTATTTCTCCTAATGCTATCCCTCCCCTAGCTCCCCACCCCCTGACAGGCCCCAGTGTGTGATGTTCCCCTCCCTGTGTCCATGTGTTCCTGTCCCCGCCCCTCCTCCACTTCCTCCCATTTCCATGGGAAGGAGGGGAAAGCTGCCATCCTTCGTGGTTGGCATTGCGTGTTGGGGTCCTCCTCTGTTAGTGGCTGGTGCATGCCGCGCACAGGAAGAGAGCCCCAGGGATGCCAGGCAGGGGTGCAGCTGCTGCCTGTGTCTAGCGGGCTCCATGCAGTCCCCTGGGCCAACCTTCAGTGGCTGGAATGGTTGCACACCTGGAACTGCCTTTGCAAAATGATGACTGAGACAGTGAAAGAGATCGAACTTAATTGACTCCATCTTGCTTCTAACCTGCAAGCTGTCCTTGTTCCTTCCTGGGGATAGGCTGACCTAACTTTGGGAGAAACTTAGTTTATAGTTTAAACAAAGACGGTAGCAGCCCTTTGCCAAAGCAGACTGCCTTCTTGCCTCGGTACCAGACTGCTTTTGTAGGACTAACATTAGCCACAAGATTGGAAATTATGGTTTAGGAGTCATGCAGCTGGGGGCTACAAGATTCTGACCCACTCTAAACTGCTCCAAAGATCAGTTCCTGAGATATTTTGCAGGCCCTGCACTTGATGGATCAGCTGGTCCCACTCAGATCAATAAACTGGTTCATCTGATCTTGTGGCCCCGCCACCCCCACCCCGCCCAGGAACTGACTGAGCGCAAGAAGACGGCTCTGGCTCCCTGTGATTCCGTCTCTGATCAGTCAGCACTTCTTGCTCACTGGCTTCGCCTCACCCCCGAAATTATCCTTAAAAACTCTGCTCCTCGAATGCTGGGGGAGACTGATTTCTGTAATAATAAAACTCCAGTCTCCCGCACAGCCGGCTCTGCGTGAATTACTCTTTTGCAGTTCCCCTGTCTTGATGAATCGCCTCTGTCTAGGCAGCGGGCAAGGTGAACCCATTGGGTGGTGACGCACCCAATGAGGTTGAAAAGCAGGTTCCACCCAGAGTGGAGCTTTTCCTGACTCCTGGTTGTTGGTGCTGGTGTGTGAGTCACAGGCCCAGCCCAGTGTTTGAGACGCAGTGACCTCAATAAGACTTGAGCTGGTTTCCTGAGTGCCCTCTGGTAAGCCATTTGTCTGGCTAGCCTTGCCACCCAGCGCGTCTGCTACCAGGAATGAGCTGGAGGGAAACGGGAAGGCTGTGTTTTTTTCTCCATCTTCCTCTCCAGGAAGGAGGTGGCCTTGGTCCTGAGGCGGGGTTTGCTCTGGGTGGAGAGCTTCTGGATGTTCTGTTGTTGCTTGCACGTCCTGGGAAGGATCAGGGCGACACAGAAAACTTGGTTGAGGTGTCCTGCTAGATCTCCTTGAAAGGAGAAGGTAGCCAGGTGAAGGTTATTGTGTTTGCTTGGCAGGTAGTGACACTGGTGGTCAGACTGAGAGCAGCAGCGACCTGAGGAGGGCAGAGGTTTGGAGTGCAGCTGGACAAGGAGGTGGTCACTTGTGCCTCGCTGCTCCAGGAAGCTGCCTGGTGACCCTCAGTTCCCTAAGTCAGCAAAAGATTGTTTCCCAGGGTGTCATATTGCACAGCTGGCTGCATTGGGAGAAGAGGCGGGGAGATTACCTCCTTGCTGGGAGCAGACTTAATGCCCAGAAAATAGAAGGGATGGGAGCCAGTGAAACCAGTTTAACAGCAGCTGTTAAAAAGGGAGTGGGAGTAGAAATGTCAAAGTTCCCAGGTCTCTTAGAGAAAAGCCATTTAGATTTCCCATGCCATCTAGAAAGATACTGGTGTTTTCCTGGAAGAGCTTACTGTGGCATGCCCATTCCCCGGGAGCAAGGATTGTAGTAGCCTGCAGGTGAGTGTGTGTGTGAGGTGAAGGTGTGCTGAAGGACACTCTTGATGATGGAAGCTTCCCTGAAATCAGAGCCTGGGATCACCAAGCCTCCTCAAGGCAGGTGCCCATGACTGGGTGGTTATTGAATGAGAAACACGCCTGTCCCTCTGAGTTGGGTGTCAGACACATCATTTGAGGCTTCCGCGCTTGTCCAGTCAAGACTGAAGTTGTCTTTATTATCTTAGTAGTCAAGGGCTTTTAAAAGCTTGAAAAGCATTCAACATACATTAAACCTTGGGCTGTTTATTTGGACTCTCATCGAATCAACTCCAGATGGCAGGATTTAGTTTGAATGTTGAGAGGAATGCATTTTATAAACGCAGTGCATCTTGCCATTAGCGCCTCCCAGAGTCAACATGAGTTACCCTTCCTTGGTCACAGGGTCCACAGTTAACATTTGCTGGACTCCAGCACACCAGCACTGTCCCTGGGCACTTGAGTTTGCTGTTAAGTGGAAAATGCAGAGAAATAAACCTGAAATGAAAATCAGAGCAGTAGATAATAAAAGTAAAGTTTGCCTGGGGCGTGGGGAGGGGAAGACAAGTGAAGCCTTTTCCTGATTTGCGGAACCTCCAAAAGTAAAAATGCCGGGGAAGTTGGGATGTGTTCTCCAAGGGTGAGTTCATTTGGAGTCAGCACAGTGAGACCTGCAGTGGGGCAAGCTGAGGGGTCTTCCTTGAGGGGTCTTCCTTGGGTGTTCTAAGAGCCAGACGCAGTGCTGTCCCAAAGGGACCAGAGAACTTCAGAAAAGTTTCTTTTTCTCCATGCCGGCAAAGCCCACCATCGAGCTTTTGAGTCAGCAGCGAAGCAGGCTGATGTCTGAACCCCGTGACCCCACTGTGAACCCGCACTCTGGCGGTGGCGTCCCGTGCCAGCCGTGGGTTCTTGGCTGCTCGCCGTGGCCAGGCTCTTGGCCAAGGCCTCATGTGGAAGCTCAGGAGACAGCTGCCCAGGCCCCACCTAGGTTGTGAAGTGGGAGTCGGGATCCAGACCCTGCCCAGGCTGCCCCGTGCCCTGCACTGCCTGCCTCCCCCAGGAGGGTGGGCAGGTTTGCAGGCTTGTTTTCCAGGGAGTAGCACTTTGGGATTTGTGTTTTTAAAGAGAATTCTGCAAGTGAGGAGGGCTGAGCAGCTTCAAGAGAGACCACAGGGAAGGTAGGCGCAGAGCTGGGGACCGTGAGAGCCAGGGCCTTGAGAAGACACAGACACGCATGTTAGGACAGGCCTGCTTTTCTGGAAAGCTCCCTGAGCGGGGAGAGTGGCAGCATCGGGAGGTGCTAGAATTGGCTGCCCTTCTACCAAACAGGCAAGCGAGTCGGAAGCCACGCAAGGCGGTCCCTCCGCCCACAGGGACCTGGAGACACACAGTGGGGGACAGGGGTGCAGGGGAGGCTCAGTGCCGCAGGAGGGAGGAGGAGAGGGTCTCGCCTTGGCACTGCTCTCCCGATGTGTGTGACACTGCTGCCTCAAGTGGCTGCAGGTTCTCAGGTCTCGCTGTGCCTGAGGATCCCCCCAGTGAAGTGGCCTAAAAATGGAAACACCTGGTCCTCCTTCCGAGATCCTGGGGTGGTGGGTGGAACGCACTCCCGGGAGCCCTGGAGTCAGGTGCGGGCCCCCGAGCACACCCCATGGCTCCCTCCCAGATCATGGTGGGGGTTTCCCTGTGCTCTGGGCGCCCCTGCACAGTTCTCACTTTGACACACTTCCCTTGCTGGTACATGTTTGTAAAACTTTCTAGCTCCAGTATAATACTGAAAAATACCCTTTGATTATTAAAAAAATAAAAAATTCCTGGATTCATTTTGAAAATGATTCTCTTCTTTTTTTTGTTTTATAGGATACAAAATTATGGATAATAATGGAATATCTTGGTGGAGGCTCTGCACTAGATCTAGTAAGTATTATGCTGGATACAGAAGATACATATTGAGCCTTTTTCTCAGGAAACCTGGGTTTTAAAGAATCCGTTGCATGTATCCATTTCTTTTTCTTTCAAGTTGCATTAAAAAAGGAACCAAACTATTCCTTCAGTGTTTTTGCTTTTTAAATATCACTAAAAATTATCGGTCTACTTTATTTTTTATTTTTTATTTTTTTGAGATAGAGCCTTGCCCTGTTACCCAGGCTGGATTGCAGTGACACAATCTCAGCTCGCTGCTACCGCCACCTCCTGGGTGCAAGTGATTCTTGTGCCTCAGCCTCCCAAGTAACTGGGTCTACAGGTGCATGCCACTACACCTGGCCAATTTTGTGGTTTTGTTGTTGGGTGGTTATTTTATTTTATTTTACTTTTTTAATTTATTTATTTTATTTTATTTTATTTTATTTTATTTTATTTTATTTTATTTTATTTTTTGGTAGAAATAGGGTTTTGCCACGGTGGCCAGGCTGGTCTTGAACTCCTGACCTCAAGTGATCCCCTTGTCTTGGCCTCCCAAAGTGAACCACTACACCCAGCCTATCCGTCTACTTTTGAAACCAGCTGTTTTGTTTCATGGGAAATCAATCCATTCATAGAAGGAAGCAAGGAAGGATCATGCCTGGAATTATCTCACCTAAGAACAGTTTGGTAGCTTATTTTCCAAAACAGGTTCTATTTACTTTTGTAGGGCTGTTATCTCACCATTGTTTCATATTTCGCATGACAACTTAGTTTCCAAAATAAGCATATAGTATTTTCATTTTGGAAGTAAGGAACGGTGTGATTATGGAGGTCGGATGTTGGATGTGGGAGCAGTGGCCGTGCCAAGGGGAACACACACTTCCCCGCTCCCAGGGCATGGAGGTGGGGCTGGCCCACACCAGTGATGTCTCCTCTGAACTCTCCCAAGTGTCTTCTGTGGCCTCCAGTCCACAGGTAAGGTAGTGGAAGCCAGGCGGAGGGTGGCTGTACCGTCCTGGTCTGTGATTTGCTTGTGTAAAACATGGCTTCCTATTGGGTTTCGATGCAGTACTCACAGATAACCGGCATATGTCATGAGCACAGCTGAAGTCATCCTTGACGCACAGTAAATGCAAACGAATTCGCACAGCTGTTTAGCACTTGCTGTCTCATCCCTGCTGTGGTTATGCAGCGAAGACACTGTGATCACTCTTGCCCCACCTCTCCTGTAAGTGCAGGGCAATTAGGTGAGTGGTGATTTTCAAGATAGGCCAGATCTGTCATTGCAGTGTTAGAGGTTGGGTCCTGGATGATAGACAGCCATCAGGAGGACAGGGCTGTGGTTTCCACTGCAGTTGCAGGGAGAGCTGAAGGAAGCTGCGTTTTTTTTAGTGTAGTCTACACAGATGTGATTCATTAAGGAAAGAACACCCCTTTGAGAGGAAGCTTCTTAGGCCTGGTGCAGCGGCTCACGCTTACAGTCTCTTCACTTCTGGGAGGCTGAGGTGGGAGGATCACTTGAGCCCAGAAGTTCAGGACTGGCCTGGGACATATGGCAAAATCCCATCTCTACAAAAAATTTAATTCTAAAATAAAGAAGATGAAACTTCTTTCTCACAGTAATAGTAGCAATTGATAGTTTTTTTGGGGACGATAAACTTCTGAAACTGTGTATCTCCAGAATGCTAATGTACCCAATTTACATAATCAAATACTGTTATAAACCATAAAAATAATTGATAAAAATGGTATTAAAAAGGGAGATTTCAAGAAAAATTAATATGGTATAAAAATTATATATTAAAAGGGGAAAAACAGCAATGTAGCGGGATTACTTTTACAACTTATTTTGGTTCCTTTGCATAAATATTCACATTACATAAAGAGCTTTTCATTTTTTCACTCTGTGGAAATACTACAGAAATGTGGAAAATTACCTCGTTTTATGTAATTAGATTTACTATTATCTTAAGTGAATTTCATTTGTAGCATATACGAAGTTGTTTACAGGGACTCTTTTTCCAACATTAAGGCCTTCAGAAGAGCAATTCCAGTAATGCTTTAGCGTGTTCATTTTTAATGGTATAATAATTTTATTTGATGATAACCTTCGAATTTCTTTGAATTGCAGTCGGTGAAGTTTTAGACATTACAGTTGGAAGGAGGGGGTAAAACTCTCCACTTAAAAATCCCAGATGGTATGAGACTTCCAGCAAACCATATTCGCTTCTGCTTCAGGAGTGCTGGTGACAAGGGACAGACATTCCCTTTTTTTTTTTTTTTTGAGACAGAGTCTCGCTGTGTCACCCAGGCTGGAGTGCAGTGGCGCGATCTCGGCTCACTGCAAGCTCCGCCTCCCGGGTTCACGCCATTCTCCTGCCTCAGCCTCTGAGTAGCTGGGACTACAGGCGCCCGCCACCACGCCCGGCTAGTTTTTTGTATTTTTAGTAGAGACGGGGTTTCACCGTGTTAGCCAGGATGGTCTCGATCTCCTGACCTCGTGATCCACCCGCCTCGGCCTCCCAAAGTGCTGGGATTACAGGCTTGAGCCACCGCGCCCGGCCAGACATTCCTTTTTGAATGTCCTTAATCGTCTCATTTAATTGGTGCTGGAATGGAGACCCTCAGGGTTGAGGGGTCCCAGCTAGCAGATAGCGCTGGGCCTTGACCCTTGCTCTGCCAGCTCAGAGCCTGTGGCCTCCCTTGACCCCACAGTGTCCTCTACCCACCTCTGATGTTGTCGTCTTTCTCCATTTTTACCCTTTTCTGTTGGCCTGCTCTCAGCCCCTCAAAGAGGCCACACTTTCTTGGGAAGGGGTGTTTTGGAGGTAGGCTGGGAGCTGTTGCAGTCTTTGCTGCTTTCCCACATCCACACCACCGGGCCCTCTCGAGGTGCAGGGGTCTGCTGGAGCTGAGGGGAACTGAAAGTCCATCCGGAATTTTACAGATGCATGGGGCACCCTGGAGAGGGGAAGTGACTTTGCCCCGAGTTAAAGATTGGGCGGCAGACAACATGGCATATACGTAAATCTCAGGCTCCACATTTTGGAGCGAAGGATGAAGCAGAGAGGCTTTATGACTTGAAGGCTGGGATGAGTCCAGGTCTGCTTGGGTGGCTTGCTGAGATGTCACCCGTGGACGTCTGCTGTCGGGCATGGGCATCCCTCAGCTGGCAGGGGATGCGTCCTTTAGCAGCTACCTTTTCTGTTCTCCGGGTGCTTTTTAGCTTTGAAAAAATGCAAATTTGGGATCTCATGTGGAGAATAGAGACAGTATTATTAAGAGCCATGAATATAAAATAGGTACACATTTTATTTTGGATGCACATATTTGAGTGTGCTTAGTCTGTTGATTTAAAAAAATTTAAAACAAAATGGTAAATGGAAATTAGTGTTTATATGATCCTAAGGCCACCGGGCTCTTGGAATATAACTTGAAAACTACTTATGTCAGTCATCTCTCTAGTTCCAGCCGCCTTGCCTGTAGGGTGCCCCGACTTAGAGCGTAAGTAGTATCACACAGTCCAAGACACCCTAACTTACAGTGCAGTCCATCTTTGTAGCCTAGTGAGGGAAATCATTTTTCATTCAGCATAGACTTGTGTGCCTCCTGTGTCTCAGCAGCTGCTCTGGCCGTTGGGGGTTATTGCGGTGGACACAGCAGTGTAAAAAGTCTTGTTCTGTTGGTGAGGTTGGTCAGTTACACCGTTTGTTAGAAGGTTCCTTCCTACAAGGAAAACAGTGCAGGCGGGGGAGGTGAATGGGGGAGCTGGAGTGAGGATGAGCCACAGAGGGCCTGAGACCAGGAGGTTTTCGCTGGTTAAAAGATCAGCTAGCGTTGCCAGAGAATCCGAGGGACAACCTTGGAATCTAATTACAAAGGGACTGTGCTGCATAAACCAGTCACTTAGGCAGAGGTGTTTGACAGACTTAAAAAATGAGTCCACAACATGGGTTTTAAGAAATGAGATGGCATATTCATTAATGTTTAGGCCAAGCTGCCATCCTACTAGCTCTAACACAGTGTCTCACAAGAGATAGAAATTCATTTCTCCCTTGCACGTGGGGCCAGTGGCTCTGACCCACACTGTCACGGTCTGTGCTGGTGGGTGGCTCCACCATCTGGAGCCCCAGGCTTCCCTTGGTCTTCAGCCATTGTCCTCTCTCGCTGCCAGTGCTTCAGGGCCAAGACCAAGCAGGGGCACGGGGCACGTTTGCTCCTGTCTGTCCCACTGGCAAGGTCTTAGTTGTGTGACCACAGGCTGCTCCTTAGAGTCTGGGAAATGTGGTCTCTTGTCGTGGCTCTTGTCGTGTGCCCAGCTGATAGTCCCTATTACAGAGCTTCGAAGCAGGGGAGGACAGACACGGGGAGGGGAAGTTAGAAGTCACCCAGCGGTGGAATGTAGTCTAGGTTTTTTTCCTGGGTTCTATTTGAAGAGTCTGCAAGTGCCTGAATGATGGAGAGCATGGTCACGATGGTGAACGCCAGCCGATGACTTGGAGAGCTTGGCCTGGTCCGAGCTGCTTATGAGGCACTCTGGGGTAGACAACAGCTAAATACCCTTTATCGTGGATTTTTTTTTTTTTTTTTTTTTTTGAGGGTCGCTGTGCCAGCTGAGTCAGGCCATCTCGCTCCTCCCCCCCCCCCCCCCCGCCCCGATCTCTCCCCCCCCCCCTAATTTTTTTATTATAGAGAGTTTTACTGTTTCGTCTCCTACCTTTATCCCCCTCCCCCTCTTTACTCCCCGCCCCTATAGTGGACTTTGATGCAGGAAGGATTTCTCCCCAAATAAAGGAGAGTTTTATCTCTTTTTCTCCTCTTCCTCCTCTTTCCCCATGGGCATATGAGTCAATGTTGGATGGTGTTCAGGGCAGATTTAAAGGGCAGAACCATGCAGATAGTCATCACAGAGCCAGCCCTTAATTATCCAGGGGAGGATTTTCCATGAGTGTTCCTCACCTCTTCTTCTTAGCGCCCTTTGGGGATGACAGCCGGCCGCTCTGCCATTGCTTTCGGGAGACTTGGTAATGGAAGGGAGGGTGGTTAAGTCCAGGTCTAGCCAGAGGTTATTGATTGTTGGCTTGGGCATAGACTTGGTGAAGAAGGAGATGGGAGATGGGAGATGGGACCCAACTCTAGTGTGACTTTTGGTTTGTTTTTTTTTTTGGTTTTTTGTTTTTTTTGAGATGGAATCTTGGTCTGTCGCCCTGGCTGGAGTGCAATGGTGTGATCTTGGCTCATTGCAACCTCCGCCTCCTGGGTTCAAGCGATTGTCCTGCCTGATCCTCCCAAGTAGCTGGGATTACAAGCATGTGCCACCAAGCCCGGCTAATTTTTCTGTATTTTTAGTAGAGATGAGGTTTCACCATGTTGGCTAGGCTGGTCTCGAACTCCCCACCTCAGGTGATCCACCCTCCTCGGCCTCCCAAAGTGCTGGGATTACAGGCGTGAGCCAGCGCTCCTGGCCTCTCACATGACTTTGATCTTTGGTCGAGTGGATTCTCCTGCACTTCAGGGTTGGGAACAAAAGCAAACACTCCTCCATCTTACCCTCCTCCCCACGTTCCACCCAGATGATGAGAAGAGTCTTTGTTCCTCATTTTGAAAATCAAAATTTCTATATTCTATGAACACCGAAAAATAGATGTGGAGAAAACAGACTTACCACAAGGCAGGGTTTTCCAGATGGTGTTCTTTAGAAGAGTAGTTTCGATATGCATTTCTTGTAAAAAAGACTTTTGGTCAGTTAACTGGGAAAAACTATGTTCTGGGGAGCAGAGTCTGTGCCATAATGTCTTAGTCTGAGGTAACTTTTGGACAATATCTTAATTGGAATTTGGGACAGTTCCTGGCAGGCGATGGACACGGGCATTTTGACCTTCTCCGAGCATATGCGTGAGGTCAAATTCAAAGCGACAAGTGCATTCTCTGCGCCTGGGTCCTGAGTGGAGAAGGCCGGGGTGGCTGGATTCCAGCTGGGTCTACTGCCAGGCAGGCCAGAGTTGCATCGAGGCCAGTGTGTGGGGAGAGGCCACCTCTGAGAGTGGCCCTGACCCTGGGATTGCTGTGTAGACCGGGGCGGGCCTGCAAGCCAAGGCAGCACAGCTCACCCATGAGCCGGAAAGCAGCGCCAGGTGTGAGTCAGGCTGTGGTTTCGGTGACAAGGGCTGTCTTGGTTGCCCCCATCCTGCGCCCCACAAGCCCTTCCGGATGTTGAACAGGATGTCCCGGTGAAGGAGCTGAGATATGCAAGGGGGACTATCGGGGTCTGTCCCTGATAGTCTGAGTCTGTCCCTGCACGCCTGAGTCAGACGCTTCCCGCAGAGGAGCACCCTAGTTTTCATCCCCTTTGGCTTAAAGCACATAACTTATCTTTTTAAAACTAAGTGAAAGGCCCCAGATTGTGTCTTCCCGTTGGCTAAAATGTGTGGGTGTGGGCTTTGAAGACATTCACTGTCACGCCTGAAAACCAAGAATGGGGGACCATGATTCGGAGGAACCTGCCTGTATTGACATCTGCCCTCTGTCCGGCTCCGTTTCTGTGGTTCCGGGGAGCGTCAGTGGCTTTGCTGCTGTCCTCCGTGGAATTACTGTTTTTGACTGACTGCCCCACTCTGCAGGGGGCGGGGGCGGGGCTTCCCATCTGGTTTGAAGTGAGCCTGTTACCCTGGTTTTCCTTTCCTTTTAAATGGAGGTGTGGATACCTGACATTTCTTCCTTTCGTCTTGTACAGTTGTGGATATAAAGGAGTCAATAGGAACAATTAGTTTGAGTTTCTGAGAATAAAAGGTTTCAGAGGTAATTATTACCTCAGGGATAATATAATAATTATTTTTATTATATAATATCGATTATATAACAAATCCCAAACTATTAGGATTTAAGCTGTTTTCAGCTGCATTCCCCCAAGTTGGGGAGCTTTAACTGCGGATTTAAAAAATTTCTAGTACAAGGTTATCCTCAGAGGCGCCGGGCTCCTAGGCCTTTGTTCCTAGGTGTTTTTGGATCCCAGGGGTGAGCCTTCTGATAAGGGAACCACATATGTTGGGACAGATCCTGGCTGCTCTGTGAGTCTCTGGCTGTTTGTTTCCTGGAGTGAAATCCCCAGCCTGTGCCCCGCCCCTGCCATGGCCGGTGGGGCGTCCTGTGGTCAGCTGCAGGCGCAGGCGGGGCCGCGGGCTTCCTCATTGGCTCCGCTTTGCTTCGTTCAGCAAAGCCGTTTTCTTGGGCTCTTTGTTTTTTTAAGTGTCTGTCAGTGGACTGTAATTGTTAGGGCAAAATCCTGTGTTTTAAGTGAAGAAGATTTCAGGTTTTAATTACCCTTGTCCATTAACATGGATAGTGTTTCTGTTTTATCTCAAACTGTTCATAAGATAATCATTTAAGTAACTTTAAGACTTTTTTTCTCTTCTTAGTTAGAACCTGGCCCGTTAGATGAAACCCAGATCGCTACTATATTAAGAGAAATACTGAAAGGACTTGATTATCTCCATTCGGAGAAGAAAATCCACAGAGACATTAAAGGTAAGAGGACGTCTGTTTTCATTCCTTTGAAATACCGAAGGCGGTGGTGGGGTTGCACTGAAGCCTTCTCAAGGGAAGGTGCTGGCACCCATTTGTCCTGCACGTTTGCCTTGCCTGGGCTGGGCTGGCTTTGAGGGGGTCTGACAAAAAGTGTAGCCCCCAGTGCCTGTTCTCCCTGGGCTCAACACCTAGCCGGGGAGAAGACGCGCTTGTGGCAGTGCATGGAGTTGTAAGTCCCCGCCGCTCAGGGCCCCCTTGGCTTGCTTTTGCAGCGGCCAACGTCCTGCTGTCTGAGCACGGGGAGGTGAAGCTGGCGGACTTTGGCGTGGCCGGCCAGCTGACGGACACCCAGATCAAAAGGAACACTTTCGTGGGCACCCCATTCTGGATGGCACCCGAGGTCATCAAACAGTCGGCCTACGACTCGAAGGTGAGGGGAAGGTGAGGGTGGCGCTGTGCCTCACGGGGCCTGGAGGGCTCCTGCCTTTTGTTCTTTAGCCTGGTAGCTTTTGTAAGTTGGACCGAAGCTGGTACCTTGAGGTAGGTCATAAAGGTAATTCTTCAACCTTAGTTAAAGTTTTCTCCTGTCTGCTGCTGTATCATTTAATATCCTTTGCTGATCCAGCCCACCATGATCGAAGTTTTGAGCTCAGACCATGTGCGTTTGGTGGCGGTGGGGACACAGGACGCAGCGGGTTCAGAACGGGGTGGGAGGAAGAGAAGGGCCGCGGTGGTGAGGGGTGGAGGCGTGTGCGGCTGCAGAGGGCCTCCACCTGCTGTCTGGGCACAGCTGGGGGTTGAAGTGCAAGTGCATGGAATCTGCAGCCTTGCAGGGGCCTGTAGAGAAAGGGGCTCCCGTAAGAGAAAGGGAGGGAGTCCACGGAAGTGTGAGAATGGAGGAAGAACAGTGCTTTGAGTGACTGCTGCAGGGTCTTCCTATTATTTTTAGTTCTCAGGATTCTCGTTCCCAGCCTGTCCTTGTCAACATGAGATGAGACCCTAACCCTTTCTTCCCACTGTTTTTACTTGTCCTGTGTTATGCGCTCCTAGTTTTTCTCATACTCTTTTTCTCTGTTGCCCTCCACTTTTGTGAACTCTGTTAGATGGGACAAAAAATCCCGGGACTTTGCCTCCTGGGGCTCTGGTTTAACTTCAGTTCCCACAGTCTGCTCTTCTCTGGACGCTGTACGCAGTTAAGAGGCCATATGATCCACGGAGAATTGGCTTTCCTGGACCCCAACTTTCTGAGCAAACATATGCTTAGACACACATACAGGCCGAACCTTGCTGCTGCTTTTAAATAGAAATCTTCCCAGTACCCGGTAGACTTCCCACCTTGTTAAACATGGTACCGGAAGCACCAGGTGACTTTCCCTGCAGCCCCAGGGTCACCGTTGCAAGCTATAGACTGTTAGAAAGTGTCCAGGTTGTAGCTCAAGTTGCAGGTGTGCCTGGTTCCACCATGGGAGGAGTGAGCCCATCTCACCGCTGTGTGGTAGTGGTGGCCACAACTTTTCTGAGCACTATGATGGCCTTGACAGCCATTGGCTGGTGAGTGACTAGTGGGTTCCCCCCCACCCCACCCCACCCCCCATGCAGCAGACCTGGCTGGTCTAGGGTGTGTGCCCTGCCTGGGAGTGTCTCTACCCCACATGGGAGGGATGCTGCTTTGGCTGCTTCTCATCTCCAGCTACCTTGGCTGTCGGCCCTTTTCCTGGGGTCATGTAATTTTAGGACTCAACCAGGAACTTATATGTTTAGTCCATTCTATTTATTTTAAGCTGAGGCCCATTTAATCAAAGTTGATCTGTGTAGATTTTGGTAAGGCTGAGACTGGAACCCATGTTTCTTAACTCATTGGATAACACCACCTTGATTATTCTCTTCTCGTTCTTTCTAGTAAATTAGCTGTGACTGAGGACTCTGATCTTAGATTTCCCTCCCTCCCTCTTTTCCTCTCTCCCTCCCTCCCTCCCTCTTTTCCTCCCTCTCTCTTTTCCTCCCTCCGTCCCTCCCTCCCTCTTTTCCTCTCTCCCTCCCTCCCTCCCTCTTTTCTTCTCTCCCTCCCTCCCTCCCTCTTTTCCTCTCTCCCTCCCTCCCTCTTTTCCTCTCTCCCTCCTTTCCTCTCTCCCTCCTTTCCTCCCTCCTTTCCTCTCCTTTCCTCCCCTTTCCTCCATCCCTCTTTTTCTCTCTCCTTTCCTCCCTCCCTCCCTCCTTTCCTCCCTTCCTCCCTCTCCCTCCTTCCTTCCTCTCCCTTCTTCCTTCCTCCCCTTCCTTCCTTCTCTCTCTCTTTTTCATTATTGTATTTATTTCATATTCTTTCATTTAACCCATTCTGTGTAGGCACATTTTTCTGGATTTCAGTAATACTGGAGTAGACAAGAACAAAAGTCTCTTCTCCTATATATCTTAAATTCATATGCAGGAGACTGACAGTAAACAGGAAGAATTAACAGCACTTTAGGAGCAAGCGTGCTGTGTTGTAGTCACCATTTTCAGGGAGTTACCTGCCTTAGGTGAGAAATATCCCTAGAGAGTGGCGGGGCAGGAGGTGTGGGCACCTCAGTGTGGTGTGGGCAACTCAGCGTGCATTTCAGGGTGGGGCCCTGGTGAGATGGCGTTCTAGTTGAGATGCAAGCTGAGAGTTGTTTAAAAGAGTTTTGAAAGAATCAGTGCACAGCTCTAATTGGTGTTTTTAAAGAAAACTCCAGAATAAATATAACAGAAGAATGTTTAAAGTTTAAAGATTTAAAACTTATCTGAGGTTAAGAATGATGTGAACCCATAAGTCAAAGAGAGGTTGCCTGGTATCAAGCAAAATGAATGAATAGAGATTATTACATGTGTCAGAATCTTTTCCAGAGGAAAAAAGGTGTATTACAAACAAAAAATTAAGTGCCTTCAAAGGAAGAAAATCAAGCTGGTGCCATTCATCACGAATTCGTACTGAGCAACTGCACTGTGAATACAACTGTGAACAAGACAGCACGCTCCCTCCTCTCCTGAAGTAGAAGAGACAACCAGTAAGCAGTTTCAGATCGTGCACAGTGCCATGAAGAAAGGAGACGGGGCCATGTGGAGATCTTCCGTTTTTGGTTCCACCATCACTGCTCACATGAGAACCTTTATTCAAGAGCTGTCCTGTCTGCCTGAGCCGTCCCCACCACCTTCCTCGAAGGGCAGGGCCTCCCTGGGCGTTTGCTGGAGGCAGTGTGAGGACATCACAGCTTGGCTGCCTTCTTCCCCGAGCTCTTTCAACATCAGGAGGCTCTGGCCAGGTGTGGTGGCTCACAAGTGCCTGTAATCCCAGCACTTTGGGAAGCTGAGGATGGGAGTTTGAGACCAGCCTGGCTAACATGGTGAAACCCCGTTTCTACTAAAAATACTAAAATTAGCCAGGCGTGGTGGCGTATGCCTGTAGTCTCAGCTACTCGGGAGGCTGAGACAGGACAATCGCTTGAACCCAGGAGGCAGAGGTTGCAGTGAGCCGAGATCGTGCCACTGCAGTCCAGCCTGAACGACAGAGCAAGAGCCTGTCTCAAGAAAAAGAAAAAGACCCGGCCGGATGCGGTGGCTCAAGCCTGTAATCCCAGCACTTTGGGAGGCCGAGATGGGCGGATCACGAGGTCAGGAGATCGAGACCATCCTGGCTAACACGGTGAAACCCCGTCTCTACTAAAAAATACAAAAAACTGACCGGGCGAGGTGGCAGGCATCTGTAGTCGCAGCTACTCGGGAGGCTGAGACAGGAGAATGGCGTAAACCTGGGAGGCGGAGCTTGCAGTGAGCTGAGATCCGGCCACAGCACTCCAGCCTGGGTGACAGAGCGAGACTCCGTCTCAAAAAAAAAAAAAAAACCATCAGGAGGCTCTGATCTGACCAGTAGGTGTTATAGTGTTGGGGGTGGATTAGAGTATGGTCTCCCTCTTCTGGGGAGTGCACACTTGGTTGGGAAGGAGATAGTATGAGAAAATGTGTCACATTTTTGGTCTGTTTTTACCTTTACTGTGACTTGTGTCAGAAGTTATTTCACTTGCTTGGATCCTCCCCAACAACTCTGAACTGGAAATCATGAGCAGACTCTTAGGTTGATGTGGAATTGACTTTCCAGGTTTGTTGACCCGGGAGGCGTGTGGTGAGGGCCGATGAGGGTCACATCAGTGTCCAAGTCTCAAAAGTTATCAGAAGTGGGGTTTCACGCTGGGGCCTTAGGGCTGAGATTTCCTTCGTTTCCCACTGGGTATGGCTCTGGACTGGCAGCTCTTGTTGCAAGCAGGGCCTGATAAGGGTGCTCTTCCAGGCCACCCCATGTGTGTCCCTCTAGTGGTTGACTTGCCTGCTGGGCAGCCAGTGCTCTTTGGGGTACACTGGTGGCTGCTCTGGTCTCACAGCTCACTCAGCTGCTTCCCAGCTTTCCCTCCATTCTCTCTTACATGACTCGTAGACATTTCCCCTCCTAGACTGCACTGCATGTAAGGAAAGACCTTCCAGCCATTGGGGACAGGGTTCGGTATGGTAGTTATGAAGGCACGTGCCCAGGTCACACCTAGGTTCACAAGCTGATTGTCAAAGGAAGGGTGGGTTGGGAGAAGTGATGAACTTCACCTGCCTCACTAGCTTCTTCATCTCACTGAACTAAAGGGAATACAAACCTCTGTTTCTTGTATATGTTTAGATCCTGTTTGGAGCCTTTTTGAGCATTGTCACCTCTGGCACTACCTGTGCCCTGTTGTCTGGGCTGCTCAGGTGTTGCTGAATGTGTTTGCATACAAAGGGCATCTTATGTCAATCCCAGTTCTTAACCTAAGCATGATATTACGAAGTCCTGATTGTCCATATGTTGTAAGAACCTTCATTACTAATGTTTTAAGGTGATTTGAGGAAGTTTGGTTTGTTTGAAGGAGTCCCCATCCTTTGGAGATGGTGCCAAGGGACATAACTCTGCTCACTGCAAAGAAGCCTCCGGTTTCAACACTAGAGAAAGGTCTTGGACTGAAGAACTCTCATCTCCCTTTTTCCTTGTAAGATTATTATGATGGTATGTCAGTGAATGGATGGCACTTGGTTTGCAGTGTAACCATGGTGAAAAGTGGAAACTGGTGATGCATTGATGGAAAAAAATAGCATTGTTGAAGATGGGTGAAGGCGTGGTCGGATGAGCCGATGCGCTGCGAGAACCCAGGCAGCCAGCCTGTCTACCGCACTGCACACCAGCCCTTCCTGTCACTGGATGCTGAGCCCATGGCCTCCCTGCTTCTTCCTGCGGATCAGGAATTGCCCACAGGCCTGGCTGGGAGGAGGAGCCCTGAGGGCCCGGGAAGAGTGTGGATCAGGAGACAGCAGGCTTTATTTTCGCATGTAGTAATGTTGGGCCACTTTGGTCAACCACGTGTTACTCTTAATGGTCATAGATATCACGTATGCCTGTAGATGCCAGTTACGGGTGTGTTCCTAAAGATTGCATCTGCTTCAGTAATAAGCTTATATCAAATCAGATTGTGTTTTGATTAGTTACAGCTGTGACTTAGGGTTATCTGTGGTTTTCTTCTTGATTGTAGAGTTGATTGGTTTCTTCTAGAATTATTTTATCTATATAATTTAAACAATATCGCTTAGATTGTACCTTGAGACGTGTAGCCAGCGTACTTTCTTTGACACAATATTGTGAAGATGTAGGATGCTGTTGCATAGAGCCCTGCCTCTCTTGATGTGGAGGAGAGTCCCAGAGAACTCAGGGTGCTCACTCAGGAGTGCGCCCCAGGAGAAGATTTGTTCGCAGTTAATATGTGCATTTGCAGCTTTTGACTGGAGCTTATATTAGAAACCACTGTTTGTTTTCTCTGTCAGCAGTGTCTTAATGTCTCATTTCATATCTTTCCCAAATGGCCCCACACGGGTCTCTCCTTCCACCTCATTTTAATTGCTTTGGAAGGTGACTGCCTGTTCCCCACATAACGTTTACTTTAAAACTCAGACATGGGCTGGGCACAGTGGCTCACGCCTGTAATCCCAGCACTTTGGGAGGCCCTGGTGGGAGGATAGCTTGAGGCCAGGAGTTCAACACCAAGCTGGGCCATAAAGCAAAGACCTCCCCCCACCCCACCTGCGACTCCTGCCTCTACAAGAAATTTAAAAATTAGCTGGGCATGGTGGTGTGCCCTGTAGTCCCAGCTATCTAGGAGGCTGAGGTGGGAGGATGGCTTGAGCCAAGGAGGTCAAGGCTCCAGCCTGGGTGACAGATGAGTCCCCCTCCCCCAAAAAACCCTCAGACACAAGTTCTTCATGTGCTGTGGTTTTTCCTGGAAGCCGGGATAGACAGACTCAGTTAGACGTGAGCGCCTCCGTCAGCACACTGTAGGACACGTCGCGCTTCATTAAGTTAACGTGCGCGAGCAGCTTAACCGTTCTTCTGAGGGTGAATGTAAGTAATGCTGCTGTTGAAGATTTTGGGCAGCATATACCATTTTCCAAATTTAAAATGTAGTGTAGATGCCTAAAAGTCGAAGTAATTGGTTTTAACAAGTTTGGATATTTTTGTGGCTTTCGATTTGTATGCCAAATTGCTTGCCATTGATTCAAGTGCCAGTCCAGGTTTCCAAATTAGTCATAGTTAGATGTCTGGCGGGAGAGCCAGCAGGCAGGAAGACCATGTGGGAGCCCCCTACAGAAGTCCTGGGGAGAAGAGATCGCTTTAGACTAATCCAAAGTTAGGAGGGGTGGAGGGGACACAGGGTGCTGAGAGCCCAGGAACCATATACCCTGGGTTGCGACTGGATTTAGGAGGATCCAAAGAGGGGATCCTAAGGAGCTGGGTGACCCTCGTGCCCCTGGCATGGCTGCCTGGGAGGATGCCCCCCACCCCGTGTTTTTTTTCTTTTGATACAGAGTCTCGCTCTGTTACCCAGACTAACGATCTTGCTCCCTGCAACTTCGTCCTCCCAGGTTCAAATGATTCTCCTGCCTCAGCCTCCCGAGTAGCTGGGACTACAGGTGTGGGCCATGGCGCCCAGCCAGTTTTTGTATTTTTAGTAGAGATGGGGTTTCGCCATGTTGGCCGGGCTGGTCTCGAACTCTGCCTGCCTTGGGCTCCCAAAGTGGTGGGATTACAGGCGTGAGCCACTGTGCCCGGCCCGCATGTTTGTTCTTGATGGTGCGGTACTGGCTGCCTTCCTTGGAAGCCGGGAGGGTGATATGTGGGTTGTGTTCAGATGGGGCTGGCAGAGGTTTTCTCAGTGAACTTCCCCGTGGTACACAGTGGCGTGCAGAAGCAGGCGTTCGCTCCTCGGTGCTGGCTGCTGCCTGCTTATTGTCTGCCCCTGAACCTGAAAGCAAGTCCTTGGGCCTGAGTGAAATCAAGGCAAGTGCATCACCGACGTAGTCAGCAGAGACCGGCCTCTGCCGAGGCCTGCCTGCCAGTCACCGAGTACATTTAGCTAGTGGAGAGATGCTTGGAGATCTGGAGGTGCATCCGTCAGAGATCATGTTCTGTAGCACAGTAGAGTGACCGTAGTTAATAATTTACTGTGTTTCAAATTAGCCAGAAGAGAAGATTCGGAATAACCCAACACAAAGGAATGATCTGTGTTTGAGGTGAGAGGTATCCCAGCTACCCAGATTTGATTGTTACACACTGTGTACTTATACCAGAATATCACATGTACTGCCAAAATTATGTGCCCTTAAAAATGAGAAGACTCTGGGTCTGTATGGCCAGGAGACAGCATGCTTTGAAAATAGCAGTAGCGGTAACGAAATCTGAGAGGCCTGGGGGAAGCCGACAGATGTGGAATCACACAAACTTGAGAGCCACCTGTTGGTGTGGAAGAACTGCTGCTGCACGAGAGTCACGATAGCCACCTCTGTTCTTGCCTTTCCCCTCCTCCATCCTCCCTCCTTGTGTCTGCTCACTCCTGTCCTCCTGCCGCTGCCACAGTTCTGGGTGCTCACCCACCCTGTGCTCCCGTGCACCTGCTTCCCCTCTCTTAGGGGCAAGAGACTGGGATCAGTTGCATTTCTGCTGATTTTTAAGATAACGCAATGCAAAATAAAGCAAAGAGTCCAAGTTGTAGAGGGAAGGAAATTAGTATTACTTCTAACATCAGCTCTCCTGGGCTGACCCCTTCAGCATAAGATTTAGTAGAAAGAATTTAGAATAAGACTTGCTGGCAGCTTTTCATCTTCACTGAGAATAAGGAAATAGAATATGCTGTAGGCATCATTCCCATGGACCGCTGGGCTCGGGGGCTTCCAGTAGGGATTTCTGGTACTCACTAAGGCTGCAGGAACATGGTAAGTGTGTCCTCTGGATAGTTACAGCGCCCTGCAGCCACCACGATGCTTCAGCCTGTGCATTTCCTTGCTATAGAGTGAGTATGAGAGATGTGTTCGATTCTCACTGAAGTTCTTGGAATAATGATGGATTACATGCACAGTGAGAACAGCAGGAAAGCTGTGCCAGACTCAGGTGTGTTCTCTATGTCCCCAAGTCGTCTTTTGCCAGCCCGTATAGGACTATATCCTGCCTCATTGTTGGCTTCTGTCCTGTTTGGGGATTGGTATCACCCGCTGTCGAAGTCTCATGAGCTGCCAAGTTCCTCTTAAGACTGCCTGGCCCTTCTCATTGACATGACATGTTCCAGGAATTCATTCCTTTGCCTAACGGCTTGGTTGTGCCACAGGCCTGTGCTGGGCAGAAGGAGGTGGGGCAGCTGGACCTGAGATGTCCTGGTGGGGGCCACGTGGCTTCTGCAGATGTCTCCTCTAGGACATTTGGCAGAAAATGCAGGCACTAGAGAGACACGGTAAATGACACCAGGAAGAAACCACCAGACAAATTGCGAATTTGGGACCTGTTTCTTCTTTAAGTTGATGCCACTGGGGAGACTGGGGAGAGGACTGTTCTAGGTTGGAAGAGCCTTAGCGACCTGACAAAGTACCCCGGGGACTTTGGATCCTGATTCAGATAAACTGTTTTTGAACAGCTGAGAACATTTAATTATTCATGACATTAAGGAATTCGTGCTAATTTCAGGCACTGATAGGTAGTAAAAAAAACAAACAACAACAAAAAACGTATATTAGCACACTGAAGTACTCGGGGGGAAATGTCATGACAACTGATTGATTTTAAAATATACTCTGGGAACACATGGACAAAGCCTGTATGGCAAAATGTTAATAACCACTAAATTCATGCAATAGGTAGATGAGGATGCATTATATTAATATTTCTCAGTTCTTTGTATGTTTGAACATTTTCATAATAAACTTTTAAGTTCTGGGCCCCTTGTAAGGCACCTTGTATGGCCACCTCCTCCTCCTCTTCCACCCTCATTCTACAGACGAGGGAAACAAGGCTCAGAGGTTAGCTCTTTCATCTAACGTCACAGGACTTTATAGAACTGGCATTTCAACCCGGGTCTCTTGAGACCAAGGTACCCACTTTCGACCTCACAGCTGTGCCCTGAGTTCTAAGCACTGCTGGAGGGGGTGACTCACGAGCGTACACCCACCCCTGACTCCTCTCTGCTCACCTCTCTTACCCGGCTGCTGGCTCCCGGGACTCCACGGGGAATGCCGAACGCATCCAGCAGGAGGCGTAGTAGGAGTGAATTGATAAGCCATCTCCATGTAGAGGCAGAAAACATTTGGCGTATTACAGTTTCTAATGTTGTTGTCTCTTTTGAAATTATAGTGAGAGCTTATGTTTTTAAATATCAGTTAAAAATGCCTTTTTCAAAACCTCGGAAGTATTGAGACGTGTTACCATTTTCCCCCTAAATACTGTGTATTGCAATTGATTCCTGCTTGGTGTTTGTAAAGATGCTTTTCTTGTTGCAGGCAGACATCTGGTCCCTGGGCATAACAGCTATTGAACTTGCAAGAGGGGAACCACCTCATTCCGAGCTGCACCCCATGAAAGTTTTATTCCTCATTCCAAAGAACAACCCACCGACGTTGGAAGGAAACTACAGTAAACCCCTCAAGGAGTTTGTGGAGGCCTGTTTGAATAAGGAGCCGAGCTTTGTAAGTTCCCAGGGATCATCACATACCTCCTCATATGTGGCTTGACTCGGCTGAGATACATCCTGTTGGGATTGCTTTAATCACTTTTCAGCTGTCTTCCTGGTATTCATTTTTCTTTTCCTAAATAAGTATGATTGACTTCTTTGGTTTGCAAATACATTTTAATTTTTAAGTATTAAAAATCTCCTTCTTTTAGATTTCCACCATCTCATACTTCATTGAATCTGAAGAATATTCTCCCTAATATTAAATGTGGAATCATAAATGTTTAATATTTATAGAGGATCAGGCCGTAAACTGTTACACTGTTTTTAGTAATGGCAGAGGTTAGCTGGAAACAAATGGCTAAATATGTCTTTAAAGTAAATGTTTTCACTTTCCAGGTGGAGTGTGTTAGGAAACAAAAGATTAGGAAATATAACCAAGCCACCCTCTGCTTCCCCTGCCCCTCCCCCTTCCTACCTACTTTCTCTTTTTAGGTTTAATAGACGCTGGCAGAGCCGTACAGCAGTAACGACTGTGTGGCTTTGCCTCGTTTTCTGTCTGAATTAGGACGTTTCTTTGAAAGGGGTGGGTGTGTGTGTGTGTGTGTGTGTGTGTGTGTGTTGGTGTTAGCACGTGTGTGTGTGTGTGTGTGTGTTGGTGTTAGCATGTGTGTGTGTGTGTTGGTGTTAGTACGTGTGTGTGTGTGTGTGTTGGTGTTAGCACGTGTGTGTGTGTGTGTTGGTGTTAGCACGTGTGTGTGTGTGTTGGTGTTAGCACGTGTGTGTGTGTGTGTGTGTTGGTGTTAGCACGTGTGTGTGTGTGTGTGTTGGTGTTAGCACCATATGTCCTTGTTTTGTTTCGGAGTTTTCCAGCAGAGTTAGCTGAAGGCCAAACTGAGCCCCCCTTTTCTTAACTCTTGTGTAAAAACGGATCACGAGGTCAGGAGATCAAGACCATCCTGGCTAATATGGTGAAACCCCGTCTCTACTAAAAATACAAAAAACTAGCCGGGCGAGGTGGCGGGCGCCTGTAGTCCCAGCTACTCGGGAGGCTGAGGCAGGAGAATGGCGTAAACCCGGGAGGCGGAGCTTGCAGTGAGCTGAGATCCGGCCACTGCACTCCAGCCTGGGCGACAAAGCGAGACTCCGTCTCAAAAAAAAAAAAAAAAAAAAAAAAATGAGTGGTTACTTTTACAAGAGCACCATGGTTGCCTAATATGCCAGTTTTGGTAAAAGAATTACATGAGGAATGCAACATTTTCTAAGCACCTCTGGGGAGATGCAGGCTGAGACCACCACACCAGCATTTGATGACTACATCAGCATCTTGTGGTAGTGGGGCTTGTCCTGCACGCCACGATGCTCTGCATTTTATTACAAGATGATGTTTGTTGCAGCCACCATGCACCAGCACTGGTGGAGATACGTGCAGGCATGTCTTCCCTTACAAAGCATGTGTCTAGTATGGGCTTATGCTCCAGCACACAGAGCTCCACCCCACAGCTACCGAGGAGCTGGCTGAGAGGCGAGACTACGAGCACCTCCGGGGTAGCTGGGGTTTCACCCTTGGGTGGACGGGGAGGGAGAATACTCAAGGGTGATCCAGGTTTCTCATGAGTTTGAATCTGAAAACGTGCTTGGCTTTTGTAGTCAAGCTTTTGTAATTTGGAGTGAGTGGGAACTCGGTTCGACTCGGTATTTGGGTGTTCCTGGTGTCTATTCCAATTTGGGCTGTGCTGGTTTCCTTGGGAAGCACATTCCCTGTCACTGTCGCCATCCTCAAGGCAGGCAGCTGACCAGGTGCTGAGCCCAGGGCATGGGTGAAGTCTTCAGCCCAATCACAAGGGAAGGGAGGGACCTGGGAAACAGCCCTTCTCAACTGGGAAAGTTGGTGATGCAGAGCGCCCAGCTGCTCTTTCAGCAGACAGGAGAAAGGGCATCTCCTGGCTCCTTTCCGGTTTCTTTGAGAGAATTCCAAATTGACATTTCTATTATATGGTTGGATGTGGCCAAACGTTAAAAAACTGGGTATAGTGGCTCAGGCCTGTAATCCTAGCTACCCAGGAGACTGAGGTAGGAGAATCGCTTGAACTGGGGAGGTGAGGTTGTAGTGAGCTGAGATCGCGCCACTGCACTCCAGCCTGGGCAACGAGCAAAACTCCATCTCAAAAAAAGTTAAAGCGACATAGAACATACATTCTGTCAGCTATTTGCCATAAAGTATTTCATAAGCTAGGAGATAAGGTCTCTTAAATGATCCCTGTGAAGCTCTGTGCAGAGGTTTCTGTGGAAATGCATTTATTAGGGACCTCCTTAGAAAGTCACTGCCCTGCCCACCATGGTACCTGGAGCCCAGGCGTAGGTCCTGAGCGCCTCGTCTTTGGGTGAGTCACAGTGAGAAGAGGTGCGGAGTAGAATCGCAGCCATCAGGTGTCAGTGTGGCGGGTTGACATTTTGAGGCAGAAGTCTGTCCTTTGGGGTGGGATCAAGAGCTTCATCTCATATTTTGTTGTTGTGTGTGTTTTTCCAGAGACCCACTGCTAAGGAGTTACTGAAGCACAAGTTTATACTACGCAATGCAAAGAAAACTTCCTACCTGACCGAGCTCATTGACAGGTACAAGAGATGGAAGGCCGAGCAGAGCCACGACGACTCGAGCTCCGAGGATTCAGACGCGTAAGTTGGCCCCTGAGCGACCCGAGCGTGTGTGTGGGAGGGACCCACTGGTCTTTGTCACTTGTTTGGTGTGGGTTTCGTTTTCTGTTGAGTTTTTTTTAGACAATCCAGGCTGGTGGCGGTTGCCGTGTTAGCCACATCCTGGGCCTGTTGGGGAGCTGAGCCTCTGGATGTTGCTGGTGGAAGTTCTACGAGTGAACTCTGTGGCAGAGCTGTGCGTAGGGAACTGGGCCTGGCTGTTTGATTCTGTTTTGTTTCATTCGGTTCTCCTCTGTTTTGTTTTCCATTACACTTTCTGTTCTTAAAATCATGATCAGGTGAAACTGCTTTACATGGATGTCTGAAAGGCCAGAAATGCACGTGTTTGTGATTCTCTGTTGTGTCTGGTAGAAGCTTCTGTACCAGCGGTGACTTTCTGAGAACTGCTGTCAAGTTCGGCATCTAGGAATTCCCTTGGCTGAAGAGGCGAAGCGGGGCTGGAGCCATTTGTGTGGCGAGGGCTGGGGAAGGCGGTCGGGTAGGCTTGTGTCTGGAAGTCCAAGCCTGGGCTCGTCTGTTCTCGTGCATGCCTTGGCAGGAGTCAAACTTGGCCCACAGTGCAGGTCCATGCGCCAGGCCAGATGAATGAGGATTTCCGGGGGTGACACCCTAAGTGGGTTTTCAGTGTCTCTAGGTGATGGCAGTTTAAAGCCAAGTTTGAGACCACTGCCCTCGGAAGTTCCTGAGGCACTGCCGTTGGGAGATTGCCGGGGTAGCAACAGGGATGACAAGATGAAGAGACTGGAGAGAGGTTTGAGAGCCAGGACGTGGCGGTGGATTTGGGTGAAGGAGGGAAGCCCACGTTCCAGGCTTGGGCAGCGTGGCCACAGGCGTTGTGATGTGTGGTGCAGGAAGCCGAGTGTGGGGTGGACCATGTATGAGTCTGAGTTGTCCAGGAGGAGACGTCCTGTGTGAAGTGGCACCGAGGTGTGGCGTTCAGGTGAGAAAGCTGGGCAGGTGAAGTGGGCTTAGGGGCTACTGCTCTGTGGAGGTCACTGGAGCCAAGAGAACAAAGGGTGTCAGTCGGGGCGTGTGGGGGAGTGAGGCCGGCCCCTAGGGAAGCCGGTGTGAGGGTGAGGCTCCGCCTGTGAATGAGAGGGGAGAGGTGTGGCCGAGGGGCGGGAGGAGGTGCAGGCTCAGTGGGGCCACAGGCGTCAGGATGATGAGCAGGGCCAAGGGCTCATTGCCTCTGAGGCCCACGCAGGACAGGGAGTCAGCACACATCTCATGATGGGGGAGGGAGTGCTCGGAGGGACACCGGCGGGCTTTGGAGCGAGTGGAGGGTACCAAATAGAGGCAGTGAGTGTGGATCCTGGAACCGGGGCTGAGAGACGGCCGAGGTGAGGCCGAAGTGTTGGAATGACAGGCACGAGCCACCACACCCAACACAGGGACATCTGCTTTCCTGGTGAGAGGAGGAGCCCAGCAGAGAGAAGCTGATGGCCCAGAGATGGGCTCCCAGGGAGGCGGGGGAGGTGTCCTCCAGGAGGGGGAGGAGAGTGGGCACGCATACGCTGGCACACCAGGGAGGTGCGGGAATCACCTCGCGATGGTCTCGTCTCTGTGAGGGAGGAGGCGGGGCATCTCTGGAAAATCCCCAAGGGACTGGACATGGGTGTTATGGTGGGGACTTGGCGCTGGTGGGCGTGGGTTCGGAGGTCCCCAGGCGGCCTCCCCCGAACGTCCCAGCGCCCCCAGAGCAGACGTGCGAGCGCTGATGGGATCTCCCTGCGTGTCTGTGTTAAGGGAAACAGATGGCCAGGCCTCAGGGGGCAGCGATTCTGGGGACTGGATCTTCACAATCCGGGAAAAAGATCCCAAGAATCTGGAGAATGGAGCTCTTCAGCCATCGGACTTGGACAGAAATAAGGTACGTCTGCTCCCTCCAGAATGGCCACACTGACCTCAGTCTGCGGTGTTTTGGAGGCACGTGTGTGTGAAGCTTGCTGTGGGTGCGGGTGGCAGCTCTCATAGAATTTTGTTGCTAGGGGATGGACAGATTGAGAGCTCTAGTTCTGTCTGGTGATCCAGGTGTTCACACCGGGGAGTCTGGCCTCTGGTCTGTTCTGTGCCACTCCATTCTGCTCTCTGCAGCCCTGCAGTCAAGTTAGGATGTCCTGACATGTGGCAATGTCATGGGGTTTGGGGGTGACCCGTGAAATGACTTCATAGCTCTCTTTGGGGGACTGTTGTGCATGTTGGGGTTACTTAGATACATATCATAATTTTGTGATTGAGTTTTAAGGACCTTATAAATAAATGCATTGCTTTTGATATTTATGTAAAACAATTTTGATTAATTGGTTTTATGCCTGTTAAATTTATGAAAGGCCATATATTTAGGGTCTTGTGTAAAACATAGTGGTGTAGTTTCTCTCAGGCAGGGTGGGCCAGTAGCTGTGCCCTGTTGATCCTACAAGTCCTGCTTTGATAAGTGAACAGGTAATGTCCAATTAGAGGCTGCAAAAGTAGAAACTCGGCCTCTGTCATAGACAGCACTTGGAATGGCCAATCTTGACCTGATTTCTATTTTCAGGGTTTCATTAATAAAGTGCTTTTCTCTCTCTCTCTTTCTTTTTTTTTTTTTTGAAACGGGGTCTCTGTCACCCAGGCTGGAATGCAGTGGTGCCATCAGAGCCCACTGCAGCCTCAAACTCCTGGGCTCAAGCGATCCTCCCACCTCAACCTCCTGAGTAACTGGGATTGCAGGCATGTGACACCATGCCCAGTTTATGTAAAACTTTTTATTTTTATTTTTGTCTTTTTTTTTTTTTAGAAACAGGGTCTCACTATGTTGCCCAGGCTGGTCTCAAACTCTTGGGCTCAAGTGATCCTCCTGCCTCGGCTTCCCAAAGTGTTGGAATGACAGGCGTGAGCCATCACGTCCAACCAGTAAAGCACTTCTGCGTAGATAGCGAGACGAGGCAGTTCACCACCTGCGCCCACGCAAAGTCCCCTTCCACATGGAACCCAGATGCCGGTGTCCCTGGCGTGTGGGTTTTGCATGTCACTGCAGATGAGACTTTGAAGTCTAGCGAGAGGCAGCCGATAGTCTTCAGCTGTCATGGCGCGCAGAGGGCGTTTCCTCAGCGTGAAGTGTAGGGGTGAGAGGTTCGTTGCATTATTGCCGATGTGAACGTCAACTGTTTCTGATGACCTTTTTTTCCTCTCCCCCAAGATGAAAGACATCCCAAAGAGGCCTTTCTCTCAGTGTTTATCTACAATTATTTCTCCTCTCTTTGCAGAGGTAGGTACCTGGCTGACCTTTTCGGAGTGGGAGGGAAGAGGGAGGGAGAAGCTGGACACACTTCAGTGGTGATGTTGCCAGTAAGAGTTGGGGACATTAAGACAAACTGGCAAAGGCTCAGAAAGCCTGCATGGTGCCTCCCCAAAGGCTGTCAGCGTCAGGCACCACCTTGCACCTCCCACTGTCCTGGACGGTGGCCACTCCGCCACAGCCTGGAGTGTGCAGACTGGATGACAGTGACCCAGCCTGAGACCCTGTGTCACCCGTTGCACTGCTTTTTAGCAAATCTCATTGGGTGCAGCCTGCTTCCTTTGCCTCAGACCTATTTCTGGCCATATGAAAAGTAGAGTCTTTCTTCTAAGGAAGACGTTGGATGCCCTGGAGTCCTCCGGTCTCCCCTGAGCCACATGTTTCACCAAAGTCCCTCCTCCGCTCAGCAGTGCTGTGCTCCCGGCTGGGCCTCCCCGTGCCGTGCCCACCCTCTGCTCAGCCTCTCCCTCCCAGAGGAAAGTGCTCCCGGCCGTGTTTTGAGAGATTTTCAAAAGTAGGCTTTATAAGAATGAAGGTTGTTCTGCATCTGGTTAGTAGCGGATTTGAAAATATGTTGGAAGTCCCCCCTTTTCTTGTTGTGCCCCTTCCTGGCTGAGGTTGCCTTTGAGGTATTCACTGTGGGCCACACACACATCTGTTTGCATGGGGATCACCCTCTTTGGGCAGCTTTCCACTGCGGCTGTGTTTGGGGGCCCTGGTCCTTGAAGGGGGAGGCCTTCGGAGGAGGAAGCATCGTAGGAGCTCATTCCCCTCTCCTGTGCCTGCGTCATGCAGTGGGGAATCCCTGGCCGTGGGCTGTGCCCAGCCTGCCAGTGCCTCTTCCCAGCCCTCCAGTGAGCCTGCACCTGTTGCCCTGCCCTGGAGGGTTTGTCTGAGGGCCTCTGACCTGGCAAGTTTCAGGGCCCAGTGCGAGCAGGGCTGTGGCCGGGGCCCGAGGCCTCACCTGCAGCTTCAAGTGGGAAACAGCCGAGCCCGCTGATGTCGGGGAAGGCACAGGGCACGCGGAGGCCCTGCTGGATGTCTGGCTTCAGCCCTGGCTCATGGTTCTGGGCACCTGTGTTCTTCCTACCTAGGATGTCCAGGTTGAGTGCCAGCTTGCTCTTCATTTTGTCCCATGGGAGTGGGCCCTGTGGGATTTCCAGGCTGCGCTCCTGCGGCTCTGCCATTGGCCTCTGGAATCGGGTCAGTCAGGCAGTTAGGGAAAGTGCATGGAGTTTTTCATTTACCTGAGGCTGTTTATTTTTTTACTGGGCTCATGAAGGAACTTTGACATAAGTATTCAGGACATATCCTAAATGCGATCGTATCCTGGATTTTCCAGCTAACCAAATGCTAAACTCGCATCTTTCCTAATGTATTTTTATGAATGATATTTGCTACCCTAGAGTTCAGAGTGTTTAATGTGCATTATTTCATACAATACTTGCAGAAGCTCAATAGAAGGATTATAGCCCCATGTTTACAGATGAGGCCATTGAGGAGACGGGCGTTGGCGTCCCTGCTTTCCTTCAGGGAGCACAGGTCAGGTTGCTCCGTGAAGTCAGTGGTGGGTCCAGTACGTTCCACACAGTGAGGGGACTGGCCCTCTCCCAGGGCAGCCCTTCTTCTGCCTTCGCTCCTTCTTTGAGACTTAGAGGCGGGACACGGGCAGGAGGGAGAGTGCTGGATGGTACATGATCCTGTCAGGACTTGTAAATACTGTGGGGGAGTCCTAGACAAACACAAGTGGCCATCTCGGGGCCGGCGGGGTGGGCCCTCTGGGACAGCAAGAGCTTCAGGAACAAATGCTCTCCGCACCCATTGGCCCTCTGAGGTCAGACTTTCCTGTTCCTGCCTGCCCCTTCAGCAGCGGAGAGAGAAGCTGTGGCTCTCAGGGCAGGGCTGGGTTTGGAAATGACAGCATGTGTTCAACAACCTGCAAACCAAGCTGAATGTCGCCTGAGATGTTTCTTACTTCCCTGAAAAGGAGGCGGTGTCCATCATCTCTGGAGCCACCACGAAGGGCCTCTTCTGTCGAGTTCTGAGCCATGCTGTATCTTGATTGAACAGCTCTTACTTTCACAGTTCACATTTCTGGGCCTTCCAGAGAGAGACTTAGTTGACCTTTAACTTAGGGAAGTGCCTGAAGGTACTGTTGTGATTTCTCTTGGGAGTAGAGGAAGGACACTGGAGATTCCCAGAATTTAAGGCTGCCACTTACATGAAATGGAATGTTTTGACACTACTGTGGATCACAAAGGCAGTTTGCTGGAGTTTAAGAACCAACCCATTAACATGAGGAAGTAAGCTTTGACGGCCCACGTGGCAGTTTCATATTGAGATTAGATTAACTTACGATAGCCTTTGAAATTGCTTTTCTGGTACAAGGTTATGGTTGAAATGGGAAAAGAGCACAGAGAGTACAGTCCATCATGGTGAGACTCGGGAGAGGCACACAGAGAGCTAGTCGTCTCTGTTCTGGCCTAGAACAGTCACGGTTATGGTCTGACGATTACCCTGTCTATACATAACTGCTCTCAGAGCATTTGAATCACCTTTCTTCAGAAGGAATCTGGGCTGGGCACAGTGGCTCATGCCTGTAATCCCAACACTTTGAGGCCAAGGCGGGCGAATCACTTGAGGTCAGGGGTTCGAGACCAGCCTGGCCAACATGGTAAAACCCTGCCTTATTAAAAATACAAAAATTAGCTGGACGTGGTGGCAGGGGCCTGTAATCCCAGCTACTCGGGAGGCTGAGGCAGGAGAATTGCTTGAACCCAGGGGGCGGAGGTTGCTGTGAGTTGAGATCGCGCCACTGTACTCCAGGGTGGGCAACAAAGCCAGACCCCATCTCAAAAAACAAAAAAAACCCAGGGATCTGAAGTGGTCTGGATCCCAAGTCAGAGCCTTTCCCGGACACCCCGGGGCTGGGGTGGTGTCATGGTCCACGCGCTGTGTTGCTCCTTGAAAAGTATGCTTCCCGGTTCTGCAGCTGGTGCACCTCACACTGTTCTTCCTGTTCGTGTGTTTTCAGTTGAAGGAGAAGAGCCAGGCATGCGGCGGGAACTTGGGGTCCATTGAAGAGCTGCGAGGGGCCATCTTCCTAGCGGAGGAGGCGTGCCCCGGCATTTCCGACACCATGGTGGCCCAGCTCGTGCAGCGGCTCCAGAGGTAACTGCCTGGGGCCCCCCTGGGCTGGGGAAGGAGAGGCCTGCACTTGGCCTGGGACTCGGTTGGTGAGTTTGGTACTTCGCTCTTGGCCTGTCTGTTCCTGTTGTCTTGCAGGCCTCAGGGTACACACAGAGTTGAATTAGAGGAGACTTTGTTGAATTCTAGAAATCAATGTGAGTGAAGGATCTGAATCTGGAAACTGCTGGAAAAGCCCGCAGGACTTTGTGCGTTTGTAGCTCTTGCCACACAAATACAGGGTGGTGGTGAAATAATCTGTTTCCTCTTAATTATGCAGCTTAATTATTGGCCAGAGAATGATCGTTCTTAGCCAGATGTGTGTAACTGTCTCTCTGGTTTTCGGCTTTAAAGTCAATGTGAGAAATGCCAGCAGCTTTGGTGTGGTCACCTCGGCGGGAGCAGGTGCACGTGTGTTCGCTGTCTTAGCTGTGTGTGTCTTGTCTGGAAGCCTCCTTGGTAGGGGCTCATCTGTGCCAGCCTGTAGGGAGCTTTTGTCCCTGCCCAGTGGCCCCACCTGTTACACACACTGTGGGTGAGGACTCAGTGGGGTGACGGCTTCGCCCTCCCTGCCCCCTCCCAGCTTGTTGTAGGAGTAACCATGGAAACCAAGCCCCTCCTACCTGCCATGGGCACAGGCGCAGGTGTTTGGAGGCAGTGGATGTGTGCTGGGCAGCTGCTCTGTGTGACCCAAGGGTGATTTGTCACTGGGCTGTCCTCCCCCACCCCGGGAGGACCAGGCGTGCTGCTGCCTTGACATTCATCTTCAGGTGTCCAGGCTGATGCCCCTACCAAAGCTGGCTGAGCCTCTGTGATGATGACGGGGATTTCCAGGTCTTTCCTGAGATGTGTCCCACCTGACAGTACATAAAGAAGTTGTGCGCGTGTGAGGTCCCTTTTGCTATCTGGGAGTGATTGAAGGGGCTGCCTACTGTCCTGTGAAGAGCCCCTCTAAGTGGGGATGGCGGGAGAAAACCACAGCTCTGATACTTCCGGTTTATGCTTCTGAACTCGGGTTTCTTAGTATGCCATTTCAACTTTTTAAGTTGCTAGAAAATAAAAATGATTTATTGGCTGCCTTTAATTTTGAGGCAATTGAAGGATGATCCCTCCCTCCTTTGATACCCAAAACAGTATAGGAATACAGGAAAATAGAATGAAAAAGTCATCCATCTTTCGCCTGAACACAAATTTTTTGATTTCTCAAACTTAGTATCACATACCTCATGCTAGTGACATTATTTCTCATTAGAAAGAGCCTTATAATAAAGCAAATAGAACAAAACCAGAAACTCGCAGGATTGTTACTGTCTTGTTCGGCGTTTTGTTTTCTGCTTTTGTAGTATTACTTTTAGAACCAATACTTTCCACATTGTTCAGAATTGCCTGAAATTGTTATGAACTGTTTGTTTGTATACATGACTTGATTTCCCCAGGAGCTCCAGGGCAGAGCACCTGGCTTGTATGTGTTGAACTGATCCATGTTTCCCATTTCCAGACCCCTGTCTCCCTGTTCCTCTTCTTTCAGTTGTTAAGGCAAGTTGATCTGTACTAGTGCTGGCCAGTAGAAGTACAATGGGGGCCACATGCAGAATTTTACGTTTTCTGCTGGATGTGGTGGCTCACGCCTGTAATCCCAATGCTTTGGGAGGCCCAGGCAGGAGGATCGCTTGAGGCCAAGTGTTTGAGACCAGCCTGGGCAAAATAGCAAGACCCTGTCTCTACCAAAAAAAAAAAAAAAAAATTTAGCCAGGCATGGTGACTTGTACCTGTGGTCCTAGCTACTTGGGAGGCTGAGGCTGTAGAATTTCTCAGGCCGAGGAGTTCGAGGCTACGGCTATGATCACCTCTGCACTCCAGGCTGGGCAACACAGTGAGACCCTGACTCTAAAAACCCAACAAAAAGAGAATTTTACATTTTCTCATAGCCATATTTTTAAAAAGCAAAATGAAGTGAAATTACTTTTAACAATACATTTTTAACCTGCCAGATCCAAAGTATTATTTCAACATTAATACCAACAATCATCAATAAGATATTTTACATTTTTGGGGGGACCGTCTTTGGAATTGATGTGTCCTTTACACTCAGCACATCTCCATTCACAGGCAGCACATTGCACGTGCTCACTGGGCATCGTGGCTGGGGATGACCCTCTTTAACCTCATGTGGGTCTGTAGCTACCTGATGTCTGTGTTGTGTTTAAAACTTTACTTTGCAGTGACACACAGGGGAGGCCGAGTCGGCGCTCTCTTGCCTTTGTCTGTGATGAGTGCCCCTCTTTCCTCCTCTGTCCTCAGATGACCTGCCTATTGGGGTGCTTATCGTCTCCCTGCAGGCTTGGCTGTGGCCCCCACTTCTCCCTTCCCTGCTCCTGAAGCTCCCACTGAGTGTTCACCTCTGCTGGCTGCCAAAACCACGGGGCCATGGCTTAGACTTCCTGCCAGTTTTGCTCCGAACACGTTATTTCAGTGGATGACTGTAGGAAAAATGAGAGCTGCCTCTCGTCTGAAGCATTTTCAGAGCTTACTATGTCATCATGTATGGGTCCATTTTTTAGAATTTCTATGGTACTTATTTCTGTCTCAGCTGGAATTAATGTTTGGATTCTTTTGTGTGACATCAACTCATCCTGTGATTTAGTCATTTGTACTTCTTTATAATTGAGTCTTAGGCTCCGTGGCTAACACGTGCTTTTGGGAGGACCTTATGTAACCATTCGTTCTCTGGGAGGGTGCCAAGTATTTCAGATGCCTTAAAAGAGGAGCTCTAGATGGGAACGTTTGAGATTAGCCTCGCCAAATACGTCCTCAGCCATCTCTCCCGGACCTGTGACTTGGAGTCTGCTGTAAAATGGTTGAGGGAATCGTGGTCTTGAGGGGACCCTGTCCTCACCCTTTTTTGTATTCTAGAGACAATCTTGTAGAATTTTTGGAAGACACAGAAATTACCCATGATCCCACCACCGTAGCCCAAATCTCATCATCATCTTTGGGTGCATTGCCTTCTGTTGTCATCCCAGGTTATAAACTTACTGAATTCTCTTATCTACCTTATAGTGCAGATAAGATTTTTTAGAATTTCTATAGTACTTATTTTTAGGATGCAGAAGTTGTGCGTGTAAACTATACTTATATAGCGCACATATACAGGTTGAATAGCCCAAATCCCCAATCTGAAACTTTTTGAGCACCAGTGTGAGGCTCAAAGGAACTGCTCTCTGGGCCATGTCAGATTTTGGATTTGGGGATGCACATTGGTAAGTATAATGCAGATATTCCCAGATGCAAAGCCAGAAGCATTTCAGATAAGGGATGCCCAACCTGTAATTTTGTATGTACTTTTAAACTTGTACATATTTTTAATATTGCTTTTATATATATACACGTAGATACAGATAATTACCAATTTTAGTCTGTGTTATTTCAGTTTGTATAATTTACTTAACTGATTCTGTACTGTTGGGCATCACAGTTGTTTCCAAATTAGTGTAATTACGAAAATCCCAAGAGACATTTTTGTGCAGACGGGTTGTTCCTGCTTTGGACCGTATTTCGGAAGCAGTTCTAGGAAATAGATTCTTGGACTACATCGCTATTTTTATAGCCAAAATGGGTTTCCTGCCCTCACATCGGGAATGTATATGCATCCCTGGAATCTTACTGTGTCATCGTGTATGGATTAATTTTCACTTTTTAACAATTGATCATAAGTAAAAAGATATTATTTCCTGTTTTATTCACATCTCTCCAGAGAGGCCGAACCCATTCTAGGTTTTTGTGACACACTGGAGTTTTTGTGTGAGAATCATGATCTTCTCAATCTTCATATGCATTCGCTTAAAGTTAGACTTACCCATTGATATTTGCTCCAGTTATTTTTGTATGACTTGGAATTTCCTATGAAAACTTAAGATTTTGGTTACTATGTGAATTTCTACACAGGGATGAGAAATGACATGTATTCACTTCTCTCTCTCTCTTTTTCCCTAGATATTCTCTAAGTGGTGGAGGAACTTCATCCCACTGAAATTCCTTTGGCATTTGGGGTTTTGTTTTTCCTTTTTTCCTTCTTCATCCTCCTTCTTTTAAAAAGTCAACGAGAGCCTTCGCTGACTCCACTGAAGAGGTGCGCCACCGGGGGCCACCCCAACGCCGGGCGCCCGTCCAGGGACACACACAGTCTTCGCTGTGCCACAGCCAGATGAAGTCTCTCAGATGGGTGGGGAGGGTCAGCTCCTTCCAGCGATCATTTTATTTTATTTTATTACTTTGGTTTTTAATTTTAACCATAGTGCACATATTCAAGGAAAGTGTCTTTAAACACAAAAACCCTGAAATGTATATTTGGGATTATGATAAGGCAACTAAAGACATGAAACCTCAGGAATCCTGCTTTAAGTTGATAGCTCCCTCTGGGAGCTGGAGAATCGCTCTGGTGGATGGCTGTACAGATTTGTATATAGTGTCATTTTTACGGAAACCCTTTCGGCGTGCATAAGGAATCACTGTGTACAAACTGGCCAAGTGCTTCTGTAGATAACGTCAGTGGAGTAAATATTCGACAGGCCATAACTTGAGTCTATTGCCTTGCCTTTATTACATGTACATTTTGAATTCTGTGACCAGTGATTTGGGTTTTATTTTGTATTTGCAGGGTTTGTCATTAATAATAATTAATGCCCCTCTCTTACGGAACACTCCTATTTGTACCTCAACAAATGCAAATTTTCCTCTTGTTTGCCCTACGCCCCTTTTGGTACACTTAGAGGTTGATTTCCTTTTTCATCGATGGTACTATTTCTTAGTGTTTTAAATTGGAACATATCTTGCCTCATGAAGCTTTAAATTATTATTTTCAGTTTCTCCCCATGAAGCGCTCTCGTCTGACATTTGTTTGGAATCGTGCCACTGCTGGTCTGCGCCAGATGTACCGTCCTTTCCAATACGATTTTCTGTTGCACCTTGTAGTGGATTCTGCATATCATCTTTCCCACCTAAAAATGTCTGAATGCTTACACGAATAAATTTTATAACACGCTTATTTTGCATACTCCTTGAAATGTGACTCTTCAGAGGACAGGGCACCTGTGGTGTACGTGTGGCCGTGCGTGTGTACTTGTGGCTGTGCGTGTGTGATGAGACACTTTGGAAGACTCCTGGGAGAAGTCCCCAGGTCAGCGCCCTGGACAGCTTGCACACTTGCTCACTGAGATGATGCGGTTGGAGGTTGCTGATCTGTGCGATTGCTGTAGCGGTTGCTGGGGACCTTAAGGGTTATTTTGCTTCTCTGAAAGGGGCCTGTGCCTGCTAGCCAGGCAGCCAGTGTGTCTGTTTTTCTTGGTTTGCTGTGGGGCCTTGCTTGGCGAGGGGGAAAATCTCTGGGTTTCTGGAATGGGAGAGTTCTTGCAGCAGTTGTTGACTGGTACATGAAGCATTCTTTTATGTTTGTTGAAGCTGATGATTGACATCTCCCGTGGGTGTGCCAGTTCTTGTGGAGTGAGGATTTTTGGAAGCAAGGAAGTTAGTGGGTGAGCTTGGGGATGTAGCTCAGCTATCTGCTGGTCTAGTGGCCTCTAAGCTACAGGGGGGACAGAGCCCTGAGCTACAGATGCTTGAGTGGGTTATTGTGTCAGTTTGCTAGTGCAGTCTGGTTTTTAAGCTCTAAAATTGAGGTATTTTATTAGAAGTGGATTTGGGTTGAACTCTTTAATTTCTATAAGGGATATATTTTGGTTAGGGGAAATAGAACTGAGTTGCTAATTCTTATTGTACTCATTACTCTGCACAAGAATGTTATCTGGAATAATAAAATTGGGGAAGATTTCATTTTGTATTTCCAGGGAATATTGTGTGTGGGGAACTGTTTCCTTACGTGAAGCAGGCGGCATAAGCCAAAGGTTAGTTTTGTCTTTGTGAGAGAATCGCACAGATGAGTGTGTGTTCCCCAGGGCGTGCTGTTACCCGATTTTTAAGTGAGCCAGGGCAGACAGCAGCTTCTCTGATTCACAGAGGTCTTCAGATTTACAAATGGACAGTGACATCAGTTTTTAACACTGAAGCCAGTTTCATGCTAGTAACAGTGGTTGTGCTGCTCGAGGGACTGGGTTCTGATGAAGAATATTGGTATGAACGGGGAGTCTCTGCAGTCGCCAGACTAATCCTACTCAGCTCCTTCCCCCGTGGAGCAACAAGTGAATCTTTGGCAGCATTGAGTTGATTGGCAGCATTTCCTGTCGGGGCAGATGGGGTTTGATGGAGTTAGAAAGCTCGCCACTGTACACTGTCTCCTGGGCTGTTACTTTCTGTTGACACACAACATCAGCTCCAGAGTTTTTAAGGGCATCTTAGCCAAGGAAGCTGGCCTTTGTGTAGCCACTTCCAGGCCTGCATTAACAGAGAGCCCAGGCACCAGGGCTACAACTGGAACCTGCCTCAGCATCAACTGCTGCTGGTCTGTAGCCAGACCCGCGGGCCCAGCCTTTGAGATGGGTTTACTGTCACCAATAGCCTCTCAGTGCCAGCCCTGAGCTGCTCCTGGCTCAGCTACCTGGAGCCTGCAGCCTGGGGAGGTGCTCAGCCTCTGCCTCTGGGAGACGAGGGCTGTGGGCTGGGTGGCTGCTGCCAGCGAGGTGGACACCAGTGTCGTTTGGGATGTCCTGGCCACCACCTGCTGGGTTCTGATTTTTTTGGAAGTGTATCTGCCTTCCTTATCCAAAAATTTTATTCCTGAATTGCTCCTGTGAAGTGGCTGGTTTGGTTCTGTAGGTAGCATTTTGTACCTTTCCTTTGGCAAAACACGGTCAATTTATAAGCATTTTTTAACATTTCCTTCTTTAAAAACAGCTTCTGTATTTCTGCTCTAAAATATGTCAGCAAAGGCAGTGACTTAATAGGGCATGTTCTTAAGCACAGGGACTGTATCATGCAGGGGCCAATAAAGCTCAAGAAAACGAGTATCTGCGTCATTGTGTGTCTTGTGTGTAGCGTGTCTCAAACTCCATCTGTCCCTGGCAGCTTGGGCGTGGACTGTTACCCACACTAGTATTTTCCTGAGGGCACACAGGAAGCAGAGGTGCTGGTCACAGGTCAGAACCACCAGTGTCTAGCAAAGTAGTTTGGAATCATCCATAACTAGCTGAGGAGACTGCCTCGTCCCCAAGTCTCCAGGAATGAGTGACCAGTGACTTCTGGAGGGAGCCCGATAACATGGGGGCTTTAGAAACCCTTGCTGGAGTGTCCCCTTCCCCCCCCGCCCCAACCACACACACCACACAGAAAATGAAGACTACAGACAAAGTTGGTTGTTTTGCCTTAAAACGTCAATATGTTGGATTGTGGCGTGAGGTATTTTTATTCCCTTTGTTAGTACTGGAAACCGTCTGGTACATCTTGTAAGGCAAATGATTAACACACGTCAGGCTCTTTGTTTGCAAGTTGCCGTTTCCAGGTACACCAGTCCAAGCTCCACAGAGAGGGCGTGCTCCTGGTTCTCAGGTGGGCAGGTGCCATGGTGCGGGGCACTGGAAGGAACTGGGTTGAATCGGCCGTTGCCTCAGCTTGAGACTCTCGTTGGAAAGGGCTTAGGAAAACCAAGGGAATGGCAGCCACCCCATCACCGTCGAGAACAGACAGATGTTTCCCGAGTGGGGGCCTGAACCGTTGGAAACCACGTTCCCTGTGCAGTCTGACACTACCCCATGCCTGGGGGGAATGAGTATAAAAAGGTAAATGTTTTTGAAGACAGGCACGATATATACTACTAGAGAATGCGCAGTTTCAAACCACAGTTGCAGGAGGATATAGGAATAACGACAGGTGCCGGGGACTACGTACCATGATTTCATAGTGCTCTGCAGCCAGCACGCTCACTAAACGCTCATCACGGAACATACCACAAATGGCCCTGATCAATGACATACAGGTTTTCATGCTTGTGACACACACAGCAAAACACCACGGCTTATCTTCCCATTGTGTACACCACTCACAGGACGGTGACAGTCCAGGTATTGCACTGGATCTCGGCTTCTCTTAACAGAAAACAACCCTGCTACGGTTTGGAAAGAGTTACCACTTAAAACGATTTGGTCAACTTGCACCAAGAAGTTGGTCGGGAACGGGTGTTTTCAGGTGAGCGTGAAACCCCGCAGTGGAACGCGATGTGCTGCAAATTGCTTAGTAATCAGAGAAGTGAGTTCTACTAACTTCCTATTATTACAAAAGTAGAAAGACTGAAAAAACGAAATCTGAAAATGATCTCATTTGCTTAAGGCTGCACCGAGTGTATTGGAAACACCAGGAAATCCACTTTGTAAAATGCAGCAGCCAATAGGTGAAAATAACAAAAGTTTCTTTTTTTAGGGGAAAAAAAACCAAAAAACACTTGCCCTGTCTTGTGTTGAACGGATGTGTGTGTGTTTTTCAGGGGCAGGGTGGAGGGAAGATGTCATTTGGCACTCTCTTAATGACAATGTTTTAATACTGGCACTAGCTAAAGAACAGCGCCCCCAGCGGATGCCAGGACTGGAGGTGGGAGCGCTGTTCATTCAGATGCTGGGAGGAAGGGGTTGAAAAACGCGGCTGTGGAGACAGGAGAGCTGCTGGGAAGCCATGTTTTTGATTTTCAGACAGGTGTTAATTTTACCAGGCTTCATTAATACAGAAGAAAGAAAACGTCTTCCAGGAGAGCAGCCACTGCGGAAACGAGTGTGTCCGGCCATCAATACACGAGAGACTCTTTGTGACTCAACACGTGGGCCCGCGAGGCAGAGCTGGTGGCACTGCGGATCACTTCCATCCACCTGCAACACGGGAACGTCAGTCAGTCAACTTTTTTTTTGTTTGGACGGACTCATGACGCTTTGGTGGGCATCGCTTATGGAAACACGGGGTGAAGTCAGGTCGCCTTGTTGGCAATCTGCCACTTCAGCAGGAGAGCAAGGGAACGCCCAGCACCCAGGCGTTCTGTACAGTGGAGACCTACTGGCCTGGGCACTCATTTAATATGGAGCTGTAAGCACCTTGCTGAGGTGACACTGCCCACTCCATTGGAGCAGTTAGGAGTGAGGTGGCCTCGGCTGTTGGGGAGAACGCTACCTCCTATTTTCATGGACACTGCAGAGAATGGCGGGGCGTGTCCCATCCTGCTTAGTGGAAGCTCCCCCTTTGAGACAGGGTCCGGCTGTCACTCATACTGGAGTTGGGACTACAAGCCTGCACCACCACGCCTGAATCTCCATTTTATATGTTTGTGTATTTGCTCTGTACCAGTGATTCTCAAATGGCTGTGATGCTGTCCCATTTGGTAAGGTCTGGAGACATTTTTAGATGTCCCAACTGAGGGGTTGCTGAGGGCATCTAGTGGGTGGAAGCTAGGGATGCCCTGAACATCCTACACGATGCAGGACAGACTCCCCAAATTACCTGGCCCCAGGCCTTTCAGGATCTGGACTGCAAGGCGGGGCCCTTTGCCACAATAATAACAAAATCCCAACTTGGTTAAACCCAGCTCTCGAGCTCAGTCCCTCAAACTAAGTTTTTCAGTCCAGGATCAGATTTGAGAATGGTTCTCAAATGGTTCTCCTCTGGGTTCCTTTTCTGGTGATATTGCTTAGGAAGTGCTACCTTTGGATATCACAGGAGTTTTAAACTCTGGTTTTAAAGCATCGTGCTATTTCCAAAGAATTTACTGGGAAGTACGCATAATTGTCCCCGCTGCTTTAAAAATCCCTGGGATTGATTGACAAACTGCTGTTCTGTCCCACAACATGGCCAGCAGTCCCTGAATTGGGGACTGCCCTGTCTGGTCTGCAGCCTGAGGACCTCCCTCCCCTCAGGGGGTGGCTCAGAACAGCCTTAGGCCTGACTCTTATTTCGCTTTATTTCTTGGTTAAACGAAGTCTGTGGTCCCTGGGTCCCATTACACCATGTAGCCAGTCTCACTAATAACCCTGAAGAGTTTTCCTTCCTCATACGGTCCTTTGACCTGAAACAGCATTTCTGCCACAGCCCTGGCAGCAGCAGCGTGACTAGTACTGCTGCAGCCACAGACTGCGAAGCCCGAGGTGCAGTTTGGTTTTTGTCGTGAAAGGCTTCCACTGGGCCTGGGTGGGTAAAGCTGGGCCAGCAGAGGCCGGTGTAGCGGCACCCACTGGGGCTTAGCTTCATAGTCCCGTACACACACATCAGAGATCTCCAAGCAAGATGTCTAGGGCCTCAGCCAACGCCGTGCAGGGTAAGGGCTCAGGGAAGTCAGGACCCCACTCTCTGCCATGAGAACAGAATCGCCTGCTGGTGTCAGGCAGTGGGACCCCAGGTCTAAACACTTCAGTTGGCAGGGAAGGGTGGGGCCATCTCACTCGCTAACTTGGGAGCAGAGCCCTGTGCCTGGGAAGGGGGCAGCTACCTTTCGAACGTGTACTCGCTTTCCGCCCTGAAGTAGTAGACGTGGGACTTGAAGTGCAGCTTGAACACGTAGTCTTTGTGGATGTTCTCGGACTCGGAGGGGATGGTGAGCGAGTAGCCGAGCAGAGGCAGGCTGGCGAGGGGATGATTGTCCTGGAAAGGGGAAACAAAGTGGCTTTTCGGGGGCAGCTTCTGCTGCTGGGCGTGGCTGCTGCCCCACATCGGGCAGGGACTCCGGGAGCCCAGACAGCGCCACCCTTGGGTGTGGGCCTGGAAGGGATCATGGGAGCCAGTGTTGGCCTATACATGATGGCCCAGGTGGCAAGTCCCCACCAGGACTGAGCTGTGGATAAAGCCAGCCCCCGTCCCTTGTCCCGCCAGAAGATAGGTGGCCCTTCCTAGGGCAGAAGTGGTCCTTCAGTGGATAATATCAGCCTTTCCTAGAGCTGAGGGCCTCAGGTGGACAGGGGCCCCCTGCCAGCATCCCTGTCATCCCCGTGACACCTGGCTGGAGCTCAAGAGGCCTGAGTCCTTCCAGAGGAGGGCAGCCCCCTCACCTCATGCTGCCACCCACCCTGTGTGTGGCACTTACCTGGTGTGACTTGTAGAAGAACAGGCAGAAGTTTGTGAACACCACCCACAGCTTCTGCCACCCATTGCTGTTTTTGAATTTCCTCAGCAGGTTCCCAGACAACTGATTCTGCAAGGCAAGGAGGCCTGTGAGAAGCACGGCGGGCACCTGCCCCAGCTGGGTGTGGAGAGCAGCTGCCCCTGCACCAGGGCCCTGGGCTGGGGCATGTCCACGACTGAAGGTTGAGGCCTCGCTGCTCCCCCGTGTGTGGGGAGACGTGGCAGGTCCTGGAACCCTGATCTCATCACTTCCCCTTGCCATTTGCTGTGGGGCATCTGGGGGGCCCTGTGTCCCCCCAAAAGACACGCTGAGGTCCTGACCACCAGTACCTTAGAACGCAGGCATATTTGGAAACAGGCTCGTTGCAGGGTAACTAGTGAAGATGAGATCACACAGGGTAGGGGTGGGCCCTAAATCCAACGGGAGTGGTGTCCCGAGGAGAAGAGACACCTGGCGGGGAGGGAGTGGGCCCTGTGACACCGAGGCAGAAATGGGGGTGCAGGACCCCACGCACTGCCAGCGGGTGGAAGGTGAAGGAGGGAAAGATCTGTCTCAACCAGCTCGGAGCAGCAGCACTCATTTTGAGGTGTCGGGCACCCTGCGCAGGAAGTGGGGCCTGGGGTGCTGGTGTGCGGCTCCCACCTGCCCTCTAGTGGCCCAGGAGGCAGCCGCAGCCCTGCCCACCTCCAGGCTCCCGGCTGGCCCAGCCCCTTGGAGCATTGTTGGGATGCACTGCAGCCCAGCTGTGGGCAGGGACAGGCCCCTGTGTCCACGCTACCTCCAAACAACCCTCAGCAGGCCTGACATGTTGGTGGCTCATTTGGTTGCTTTGCAAAAGTGACATCACCAGCAGATACTCAAAGCAGTTACACCGCCTTGTAAAGGCACTTAATGCCACTGAATTGTTCATATAAAAATAGTTGGCTAATATTGTGGTATGGCTATTTTACCACAAAAAAAATGCGGACTTCTGAGTCTGCCTCATTCCATGTCTCTGAGTGCCCCTGTCACTAAGCTGCTGTGCTGGGATCAGTCTGGTGTCCCTGCCCTCCAGTTGCTCAGGGTCCAGTGGGAGAGATGGACACCGACAGTGGGTCCATGAGGGGCTGCAGGATGTGGAGGCCCCCTCTGTTGGCAGAATGAGAGGGACCCTGCAGATGGGGGAAAAGGGGGTTCCAGGCCAGGCAGGCAGCCCCAGCCCTCCATCCTCCTCCCCCAATGGCAGAAGGGAACAAGAAAATGCAAGGCTCTAGGTTCCCAGAAGGTCCTGGTGGCCGGTGGTGGCCTGCCTAGGGAGGGAGTGTCTGAACCAGCCCGCGCGGCATTCCCTCCAGTCTGGGCCCTTGTTACAAGCAGCTCTAGAGCCAGCCTGGAGGGACCCATCGCCCCGCGCCTTCCTAGCGGTCCCTCCGCTCGTGGTCCTCCTGGCTCCACTGGGGGCCCTCCCCCCTCCCGGCCATCTCTCTAGCTTCCCTTCCCTTGGCCTCTCCCACTCCCCTCCTCGTGCCTGCACTGGGCCTCCGCCCTCCCCTTGGCTTCACCCCTCGGCTGTGGGTTGAACGCACCCTGCAACAAGACAAGCTCAAATTCAAACCGATGGTGGCCTCATACGGACACGGGGTCTCTGCAGATGGGATCGAGGTCAGGCCACTAGGATGAGCCCTAAGCCTAACGTGAGCCGTGTCCTTAGAAGAGGACATTTGAGCGCAGATGCAGGGAGGACAGTTGGTGACATGGCAGACCAGAGCCCTGCGACATGGGTAGAGCCAGGGACCCCCGAGGAGAGGACTGCCGCAGCCACCAGATGCTGTCAGAGAGGCGGGGACATCTTCCCTGAAGGAACGCACCTGCCAGCAGCTTGATTTTGGACTTCCGGTTTCCGGCACTGTTAGAGATGTTTCTGTGGCCTCACCCAGTCTGAGGCTGGTACTGTGTGATGCCACGGGGAACAAGTATAACCCCCGTGCCCGCCACTCCCTGGCCTCCGTGTCCCTTCCCTCCTCCCAGTCCTGTCGGCACTCCGTCTGCTGAAGAACCTCCCTGCTGTCCCCCATCTCGCCACTCCAGCCTTAAAAGACAACTTGCATTGCTTTGCTTCTGGCCCTTCACCGGCTCTAGTGCCCACGGGCTGGGCAGCCCTCTCGCCATCCCAACATCTGACCCTCCAGTGGGAGCCCCCAGACCTGCTGGCTTGCCCACAACTTTTAGCAGAGGCCACTGAGTCCACACTGTCCCCAGATATGCCCCTTCCTCACGTGTGCCTACATGAGTCAGATGGGAGCGGGACTGGAAGAGAGGCGGGGCACAGGACTGTGGAGAGGAGGCTGCCGAGTCAGGAGGAGATGGAGCTGCTTCGTCCTCTGTCATGCAGGGCGGAGGCCCTGGGGACGGCTCCTCTGCGAGTCAGCGAGTATTTGGCGTCTGGCACGCGAGGGCCGCCTGCCACTGACGCCAGATTGACGCCACACGCCTTGGGAGGGGGCTTTCTGGCAAGGATGGACATCTGCAAAGTGATAGAGCAGCCAGGTCCCTGACTGTACTGGGTGGTCACTGCCACCTGGAAACCCCACTGGCCGGTGGCTCACTCTACTGCTCTCTGCTAGGGGCAGCAAACTTTTCCTCCAAAGGCGGACGGCAGATACTGCAGGCCAAGGGGCAAAACTGAAGACATTATTTAGCAGCCATTAAGAAAAATGGTAAACCCATTCCTTGTTCACAGGCCGTAAGCCATCAGACTGGGGCTAGATCTGGCCGGGGGCCAGTCTGCCCCTGACTCAGTGTCTTGACCTGATCATGCACACGGAAGGCTGCGACCATGCAGATTTGTTACCCAAAAGAGCTGGGCTGCAGGGGGCTCCCGCCACCTGGATCCCACTTGGGTATTTCCTGCCTTGTTGAATGGCCTGGGTGCCTCCAGGTATTTAAAAAGCTTTGAGGCCTATGACATATAGGCCTTCAGAGTCGTACACATTGCTGAGGTCAGAATGAAGCAAGGTCAGGACAGTTCCTCCCCAATGGTGGCGCCACACGTCGACTGGCTTCGTTTCAGACACACACCCACAGGTGAGAGCTGATGGGCCTCTTTTCCCATGAGACTATCACGGGTTCTTCCCTGCTCCTCCGCCTGGGGGTCCCTTTCCTGCTGTCATAATCCCCATGCCCTGGGAGAAGTCTCAGACCCGCAAGCATTGCACAGCCTGGAGGTGGAGGTGTGAAGCTGGGGAAGAACAGTTAGCGCTCTTCACACTTGGGCTGTCAGGAGGCAGAAGGGAGGCCCGGGGAGGGAATATTCACACCTGCACACTCAGGGGAACCCTATGGGACAGAGCCTTGTATGTGGGGCCAGCTGGACTGTGCCCGTGGGGGAGCCAGGGCCTGCACCTCGGATGTGTCCCGTTGAGGATGTCTTCAGAAGCAGGCCTGGGCTTAGAAACACTGGCTTGTAGCAGGAAACTCAATAAAGGCAGGTCTGAGCAATGGGGACGGTCGTTTCCAGGGAATAAATTCCAAGACTCCCTCGAGACCCTCCATGAAGCACTGCTGGCTCATTCCTGCTGCTGTTGGTTCCAAGAGCCAGCAAACTCCTGTCCCGGCCATAGTCTCTTATGTGACACTGTTTGGACCAGGCCTGTATGGGAACCGGACCTTTCTGCGTTTTAGAAGGTGAGTCCTGCCTGTAGCGCAGCAGCCCCGCAGAGGGCGCGGGGGCAGAGGTTCCGCAGTGAAATGTGGGCATTCACATAGAACACAATCACAATGATGGATGGCCTCGCCCCAGCTCAGGGCAGGGTCCACTGCCAGTGAGAGATTAAGAAAGCTTTCTTGTTTTAGACCTTCATGGGTTTGAAGTGTTCTGAAATACAGCTGTGGGCCTGGACTGAAGAATGTTTAGGGAACGGGTGTTTGGAAAGGATTCATGATCTGGGAGAGATGCCATCTTCAAAGCCAGCTTTCAGGTGGCAGGATCAGAAAATAATACCGTGAAGTGAAAGGCTCAGAAGCCAGGCCTCCCTGAGCACCTCCTGCCTCGCCCCTTTCCTCCCCCAGGCAAGCCACAGAAACTAGAATCCCCCTTCCTTAAGGCGGGTCATTGAAACCAGAACCTCCCCCCGGCCAAAGCCAGCCATGAAACCAAAAACGGAGACCCTAACCTTTCCCCACTGTTCTGTGTCAGAGCTGGCTACAAACTTACTCCCCGGCCCACCTTGTGTGAGAAGAGGGTCTAAGACCCCCACTGCGGAAAGGGTCCCACCCACACCCAGGAGCAAGGAACGCTGCTCAGAGAGGCCAAGTGAACCTGGAGGGGCCCTGCTGGGCTCCTTTCACCCTCCAGCATTAGCTCTCAGCCTGTCCCATCATCAGAGAGGCCACGTGAACCCGGAGGGGCCCTGCTGGGCTCCTTTCACCCTCTGGCATTAGCTCTCAGCCTGCCCCATCAGCTCCACTCGGTCACCCGCTCTTCACCCAACCGAAGCATAAAAACGACCGTTTTCGCCACACCTCTGCGTCTTCATTCTGAAGGCTCCCATGTCATGTAAAATGACGATGAAATAAACTGGTCATGCTTTTCCCTTGTTAGCCTGTCTTTTGTCACAGGAGTGTCTGCCGTGACCCTCATGATGGGGAGGAGAGGGATCACCCCCTTTCTACCCCTCCACAGGGGTGGCTCTCAGAGCCTGCGTCCCCTTCTCCCTGGGTTCTTCCATGAACCAGGACACTGGCTTTGGCTGGCACCTGCTTGCCATCATGCAGACTCTCCTCCCGCCCATGCACCCGATTCCCATGGGCGGTTCAGGATGTGACAGCCATGGAACTGTCCAGTAGCTGTGCCCTGGGCACCTGTGTTCTAGGCTAACTGCATGAGAGGTAAGAAAACAGGTGAAGAATGAGAGAAAACGATCTTATGGACGGCAACAGGGACTGATGAGCACCAAGAGACATGACTGCATTTGCGGGAGGTTGGCGCCCACTCCACGCCACCTACAGGGATACCTCCGGCAGGCTCCAAAGGGGGTCCAGCGTTGATCCTTCCCTGCTTAGCCACCGTGGGTGGGTGGGGCCACCCGTGGTGCCAGCCTCCCTCAAGGCCCTGGCCCAGAAGTTTGCCTGGGTTCTGCCTGGGCCAGCACAAGCTGGGAACCAGAGCTGCCCTGCCTCCACGTACCTCCACTGCGATGCTGAAGTCCACCATGGAGACGCTCGTGTTGCGGTGCCAGCACACGTGCACCATTGTGTTGCCACGGTGCGGGGCCTGGCGCTCCAGCGACGTGCGCGAGGCGCTCAGGTCATCCTCTGACTCCTGGTCAGCCGCGGTGGCTTCATCAGGGGACTCTACAGGATGGGGCAAAAGGCAGCACTTCGGATCTTTCCTGCCAGCACCCCTTCCTGATACCCTCTGAGGTGCTGGGAGGTTGGGGGGCTCACTGCAGTCACGCCCTGTGGTACCTAACCAGAATCTAATGAGGCCCCCACTGAAGGGGGACAGACCCTGGAGCCCTGGTCCCTCCCGGGTGTGTGGAGTACAGCCCTCACTCTGGGTGTGGACAGCCTGGTCGTCTCTCCGTGTGACAGGGGTAAATGCTGCCCCGGAAAAGGTAACTTCCCAGCTCCCTCATGCTGTTTTCAGGTGTTTTAGGAAAATGAACCGTCTTGATCTTTGGCTTTAAACACAAATGTAGACCACAGATGTGAGGCCCACCCGATGGGGTGGCTTTAGATGCAAAAATGCTGTCCCTCCATGAACCAGACCCCAGCATGGGCAGGCTGCCCTGGCCACACTCACTGTTGTCAGGGGGGCTGCTGGCCAGGAACTCGGGGGCGGGGCTGCTGCTCTTCTCCGCCAGGTCAATGGCCATCTGGATGTCCTCAACCCACTTCTCCATCTCAGACCGAGAACTGGAGACAGAGACGCGTCAAGTATTCAGGCCGCAGCATGTCAAAGGGGACACAGGCAAGGGGCGGGCTCCCGAGTTACCTGGCGGCCACGATGATGGACTGCCGCTGGCCCCGGAGGGTCAGGCAGTGGGGCACCCCCCACTCGTCTTCGCTCTCCTCAATCTGTGGGCAAGAGAAGATAACGTCACCGTGAGGGACGTGATGCACTTCCAAACGTCCCTGAGCTGGCAGCCAGGCAACTCGGAAAAGGAGGGGTGCCACTGAGCCGGGCTCAGGAGACCCAGAGCCCCACAGAGGGAGGAGGCACTCTGAGTTGGAAAAACCAAAATCGGAAAGGCGACAGGAAGATCGCAGCACGCTGAATGCTTTTGGCAGAGCCCACAAACTTCCCTCTCTCCAACCCCGGAGGACAGCGTGGGCACCAGCCAGGGCCACATCCCAGGCCCAGGCGCCCTGTACACCTGCCTGCCAAGGGGGACAGGAGGCAGCCCTGAGCCAACTCGGGGGAGGATGAGGTGGCTGGCCCAGCTCCAGGGAGGGGCGCTGTCATTCTTGTGTGTGGCGAGGACTGTCGGGGCCCCTGGAGCCAGGCGCAGGCAGTGGGATACGAGTTCACGCCAGACGGCCTCATCGGCTTGTCCCTTCACTCGATTCTATAAGGAAGGGACCCGCACATCCCACGTGCAGGAGAAGGAGCCGTGTCCCCAGAGCCCCACTGGAGAAGCCCGAGAAGGCTGGATCTTTTAGGTGAAAGGGTTGCATGGTCTTCGATGGTCTTTGAGCCCAGGTCTCGTAACCAAGGTGACACTGGCCGCCCTCTCCCTTCCTATCCAGTCTCTCCCTTCCCCTCCTCGTCACCGGGTCAGCAGTGCCCGCGGCCCCCCGAGGACAGGCCCTGGCCTCAAGCCTGCGCCGTACTCACCGTCATGCCATAGAGCGGGAGCTGCCCGTGGACTTTAAACTGATTGGAGGCCGTCAGCCCCCGGCTTGTGTACAGCAGGACGTCGTTGAACTAGAGGAACCAGAAGTGTGTAGAGGTGAGACCACGTGTGGACAGCAGGCCTCCCTCCAGCCTTCACCGTCCTCATCAACTGTCCTCAACTGTGCCTTCACTGTCCTCACCAACTCGGGCCTGGGCACCTCTGGCTGCTCCTCCTCCACCCCAGGTCCCCCCTCGGGGGCCTTGCTTGCCCAGGTGACACGATCCTTGTGAGGACGAACCTCTCCACTCACCAGGAAGAACATGCGCTGTTGGAGCCCCTTCCCCGAGAGCTTGCTGAGGCTGCCCAGGCGGATGAACTCCTGCAGGGGAGACAGACCGGGGGGCTGGCCACAAGCATGCAGACCCCGAGGGCTGATGGCCAGTGTGCAGACCCTGAGGGTTGACTTTGTAGCCCCTGAGGGCTGACTGTGAGTGTGCAGACCCCGAGGACGGACTGCGAGCGTGCAAACCTGCTGGCTTCCTCCCACCTGGGTCCCCTGCATGGTGGAAGTTACAGCACTCAGCTGCGATTCACTGCATGCTTGCTCTGCCCCAGGTGCTGTGCTAAACCCTCACTAGGGATCGCCTGTCTCCTTCCCAGGAAGGTACAGGGCGGTACCACCAGCAGCTGCCCCAACAAAGGATACTGACGGTCGGGTTCAAGAGTGCCGGGGCCTGAGGACCATATGCGTAACCCCAGGATCCCCAGGGCTCCCCACGGTGAGGGAGATTAGAAGGACCCCAAGCAGTTCTCAAAGAAGAAGGAGGCTATAAAAAGTGGCAGCAAGGGACCCCTGAGGACGGAGAGGCCACATGGGAGCACTGTGGCTGGAGGAATCTTCTCCGTGATTTAAAACCCTGCTTCTCAATGAGCAGGAACTGCATTGAGGATAAAGGAGTGAGAGGCAGACGTGTCCAAGGCACCTCTGCATCCCGAGTGACATCCTCCCCGGGGCTGTACACTCTTGAGGGCATGCATTGCAGGGGCGCAAGCACTTGAAAAACAAACAAATGATCATTTTTCAATTGTGGTGGAATCCGCGAAACACTGAGCATGCGTGGCCTTCGCGCATTCACAAGGTAGCCCCACCATCACCACCATCTACTTCCAGAACGTGCTCCCTCGGGGGTCTCCCATCCCACCCTCCCATTCTGCTCTGGGTTGACTTGAAACAATGAGTGGATGTGAGGCAGCCTGATGAGTGAAAGAATCAGGGGATCATCTGAGCTTAGGAAGCAACACCCCAATTCCATCTTCACCTTTACTAATACAATGGCCTCCTCTCTGGAGCACATGGGATGCGCCTGGCATGTCCTAAGTATGAAGTCCTAATAAGGGAAAAGGAGCCAGGCTGGTGGGATCGAGGGAAAGCAAAAAGACAAAGCAGAGAAGCTATACAGGTCTGCCTTTCTTCATGGTCCAGGACACAGCCCTCCTGCACAGATAATTCACCATCTTCCTGCACCCAGCTATCACCAGACCCTTGGCTGATAGAAAAATGCAAGTGAGTTCGCTGCAGCCGTGGCGTTATCATACTGCACAAAGCCCTTGTTGGCACACAGCACAGACACCACCTGATGAAAGTCCCCAGCAAGCCTTTGTCTCCTTGCAGTCACTTCCTCTCTTGCTGTTGCTTTCTGGCAATGTATTTTCCTACTTCTCTAATAAGCCTGCCTTTATCTATAACCGTCTTAGTAAGTGATTCTTACCGCCTGCACTGCCAGCCTCAGATAGTCACTGATCACCTGCAACACTGAGTGATTACAGGAGCTCCAGACGTGAGCCTGCACCTTCAATATCATTATTCCCATGTTTCAGATAAGGAGACTGAGGGGCAAATGATTAAGAAACTTGCTCACGATCACCTGGTCAGCCAGGGTGTGACAGAGCAAAATGCTTTCCATTGTGCTGTGGAATGTAATTAATGCCACTATACTACGTGTACATTTCATCTCTTCAATTAAATGTAGGTGGGGAAAAGGAAGATAATAGGTATTACGTCATTTTCACATAGCACATCTCATTTGATCTTCATGACCTGTGAAGGAGAGGCTATGGTCTCCATGTTACATGGTCCCCTGCCACCCCAGGTTCTGGTAGAGCGAGACTTTGAACCCAGGGCCACCTCCTCCAATCCAAGGCTCTTTCCATTGCAGTGGAAAATATTTCCTCAGAATAAGGAATTCTTTATCAATGGTCTCTTCACCATGTAGCATGATATGATAAGTATTTTATACCTTTCAAAGCTGAGAGAAAATTACATCGATTCCGCAGGGCTTTTCTGAGGGTTCTGTGTGGATGGGTAAATAAGGTCATTAAGTGCCAAGGCCCGGCGGGATCTTCTCACCAGCAGAGCTGAGGCAATCCCAGCTCTAATTTCTGCCAGTGCTTAACCGCACCGCTCTTCTGACAATCTCTCACAACGTGGCTTCTGGGCAGTTTTGTAATGAGGCTTCCTGACAGAAATGCTCCAGTACACGGAGAGCTTCCCTCCCCTGCCCTGAGTTACAGATATCAAGTTTCCAGGGCAGCTGCCTGTTGGAAAAGACTAAAAGTCCCTGGGATCCTGGATCCTGGCCTGCAGGGTCAGGCAGGCCCGCAGCAGATCAAAGCAGCTACAGTGAGTTGTCTCTTGACCTGGGTGACGTAGGGTTTGAAATGGGAGTGCCACAGGGTAAAGATCCCAGAGAGAGATTTGATGAGATGTAGCAACTGAATAATACGTTTGATTCGTGGGTGATGATGGCTTCCTAGGAAGGGAAGTGGAGAAGGCAGGCTTTGTCCCTGTCCTCCACATTTTCACTGGCCTGGAAGGAGTGTGTGTAGGAAGCCGTGTTCGGTGGGAAGACCTGCATCTCAGGCAGGGGCTGGGGAGGGGAAGGCGACAGTGTCAGTGAACTTGCATCTCTCCTGGACTTGCTTTCCAGCTAAGATTTGGTATTTTAATTTTGAACTGAAATTAAATTATATATAGAAGATTGAATTTTAAAAAAACTCTTCATACCTGCATGGGAATTCCTAGCATAATTTAATGCACTAACTTTCTGGCTTTATTACTATTTACCTAATTCTTTTTTTTTTAAATTTTCTATTTTCATTTATGCACATTTTTAAAAAATGAAATAAGCAATCTGAAATCTTCTGTGGGATACGGTAGGGGAAAAGGTAAAGAAGCGAATCACCCTGTAAAGAGAAAAACAGAATGTGAGGTCAGAGGATTGCTTTATCTCCTCCGAACGTGATGATTCCGAACCAACGACACTGTCGTGTTTTTCCAGTTGTCTCCCAGGTGGATGGAAAGAGGACATTTTGCCTTGCAAGTGTCTCTATTCAACAGGTTCCAATGTAAGTCCCTCCGATGCCTCCTTTCTGCTCCCCTCTGCAGTGCATTGTGAGGCCACTGCCGCTTACCCTTCCTGGGACCACGAGATTGTCAATGCCAATCAAATCTTTCTTGAGTTCGTGCAGCTTCTGGAAATTCTCCATCTTGATCATCGTACCGTGGAGCTGTGCCACCATCTCCGTGATCTCTGCCAAAGCGGCTGTGAAGGAAAGACACACACAGTCTGCGGTGGGAAAGGCAGGTGGGGTCTTCCCCAAGTACCTGTCAGCTCAGCGCTGCGGGGAAATCACTCCAGTCCTTGCATAGTATTCAAAGGTATCTTTTGAGCGAAAACAGTGTTATTTCTCTATAACAAAAATTGATAGTGCATTTTCTGAATTTATTTGCTTCCTTTTAGCATGTTAAAACAGTAAGTGACCCGTGCATGGCTACGTGGCATACGGCTGTCCTTCAATGAGACGGACTTGTTGGCTTAGAGGGGAAAGACACGGGGGGAAGAAGACTGCCTTGAATTGTGTCCCTGAGTAGACTTTTCTTTTCCCTCCTGTTACTCGGAAAGAACAAGGCACAGTGAACACAAAGAGGCCACAGAAAAATCTGGAGCAAAGTCGGCATCTCTTTGAGAGGAGGTGTAATTGATATTGTGAAGTGTCAGTATCACTCCAGGTAACTAACATTCCACCACACCCCAGTTCTGCCTTGTGTGGAAATTACACTGTTTGTCAAGATGGTTGCGAAGACTTGCTGCAGAATTTAAATTTTTTCATTATTATTTGTTTGAGACAGAGTTTTGCTCTTGTTGCCCAGGCTGGAGTGCAATGGCACAATCTCAGCTCACTGCAAACTCTGCCTCCCAGGTTCAAGTGATTGTCCTGCCCCATCCTCCCAAGTAGCTGGGATTACAGGTGCGTGCCACCACGCCCGGCTAATTTTGTATTTTTAGTAGAGAAAAGGTTTCACCATGTTGGTTAGGCTGGTCTCGAACTCCTGACCTCAGGTGATCGACATGCCTTGGCTGCCCAAAGTGCTGCAATTACAGGCATGAGCCACCGCAACAGGCCTTTATTTTTCAATAGAGGCATAGCTCCCCTATACTGGTGGGCATCCTGTATTTAAAAGGAGCTAGTGCCTGATTAATACAAGCTTGGGTGGCACGCAAGTCCCCAGCGGCTGACAAGCTTGGGTACTTAGGTCAAGAAAAGCGAGAAATACTTGTTGACTGAACTTTAGGCTTCAGAACACTAAATACCTCTTTGACCGCTTCCCCCAGCATTTCCGTGTTGGAAGGGAAGCATTTAGTTTTCTTGTTTTTTCCCCCAAGGATGCAAGTTAAATTCTCCCAGGCTCATCAGAGAATGTGGTCTCAGCCATAGTGACAAATCCCAGGCCGCGCTCGATCTTCAGATATTACCACCCAGTTTGGTCCAGTAAACATTTACTTGGCACCCAGTGCTCAGTGGCAGGGCTGGGGGGAGTGACGGGGTTCTTAGAGGAAAATGATGGAATGATGGCCCCCTGGCCCCCAGTGCTCATGGGCAGGGGCGTGCTGGGAACAGCCCTTGGCACTCAGTATCCCTCCAGCTCTGGAAATCTAGGCTCCTACAGTGCTGCCACCTCATGCTTTAAGCTAGCCAGCACTTTCTTCCTCAATCCTCAAGGATAGACTATCTCCATTGGGTACTGTTTACAGAAATAGCAGAATGAAACTGGATCAGTCCACCAAGGACAGTGCCTGCAAAACCACACACACTGCTCTCACCCCCATGGGCGCTAGATCTGAGGAGTCCTCAGAGTCAGGAGAGGCCCTGGGTCCTTTCCTCCAGGCTCAGCCAACACATAGGCAATGCCCGTGTGACAGGACAAGGCGGACAGGAGGTCAGCTTAACATCAGGGGCCAGGCACAAGCTGAGGCTTAAAGGACGAGAGAGAGCTGGCCAGGAAAGGCCAAGGAGGTGGTGGCCAGGACTCTAAGCAGA